AGAATATTTGAACCCATGGAAAAAACCTCCATTCATGAGTAACACTGTTATAAAAAAAAAGACAAGCAACTTTTAAATGTTTGCGTACTTCATATCTTATGATTATTATTCTAACTTAAGCTGAAGAGGAAGTTATTTGCAATCATGATAAACAGAAGTAAAATACATACACGAATATCCGACAATGTTCTGTCTGTCTGTCTGCCTGGATTCAACATAGAACTTGGCACCGAAGTGTACCAGTTCGAGTTGCCACGTACCGAATACCACACAAAGGTAGACAAGAAGATGATGAATAAAGAGAATCAATAGAGTTTGACAAGTATAAGAGTGAAACAGAATGGATAATGGTAGAAAGGAATATGAAAGATTACAGAGACTGAATACATCTGCGCCTGACATTGACAACGATTTTGAGCCACGTCACCTATTGTCTCCAGTCATTGATTCTTAGAGTCTCGAGAGCCCAAACTCGGAAGTCTGAATCTCCCTACCTACCTGACTCAGGTTAACTGTCAAGGATTTCATGGATTGATGAGGCCATGTTTTTGTTTGGCCACCACTTACTCTTTTCCAACCTGCACCTATATCAGCTAGTAATGCCCGTCGTCAGGGGAGGCGATGGTTAGGCATGCGCACCACCTGAACTAGCCATCTCAATCTATGTAACTTTATAGCCTCGTCGATTGATTTTCCCTCCTTGCCTGCTCAACACTCTACGCCTAACGTCAACATTACTTACCTTGTTAAACCACCTAACATGAGAAAGAGCTCACAGACATCTATGGTCGAAACCAGTCAACCTTTTCATGTCTTCAACTCGTATTGGCCATGTTTCGTTTCAAAGCCATAGAGAAGGACGGAGCGAACTGATGAGCAGTACACACGTCCCTTGGTTGATAGCCGGATGTCACGCCTACACCAGAGATGGTGTAATTTAGCGAAAGCAGCTCGAGCTTTTTGGATCCGTGGTGAGATTTCGTCGCCAATCAGTCCGTTGATGGTGATACAATTTCCCAAATAGGTGAAGTAGTCAACATGTTCTATCACTTCACTCCCTATCACTAAGCTAAGAGTTGACGTAGTCTAACTCCATCTGACAATGTCAACCTGGCTATATAATGGATCGAGGTGAATGTGAGAAAATATTTTTCAGAGAGGAAAGTTGAACAACTCGATGTAGGGAAATACTTCTTTTCATTATTCATCATTATTGCCATAATGAAACATACATTAACGAAGAGTGAAATAAATCAGTAACTATGACCTTATAGTGATTTGAATAAAGCACCGAGTTGTTTATTATTAAGCCCGCTTGATTGTTTTCACCGAAGGTTATATAAATACAAAAACATCCGGCATAACTGGATGGTTAAAAGGATTCCATTCCCGTAGTAGTAAATTTAAAACAAGTAACAACTGTGAAAATAAACGGCAGTAGTAGTATGATGTAATGAATTCATAAATTTCTCTGGAGAAGGATTCATCAACTGAATGTCTGTCTGTCTGTCTGTTTTCGACATAGAACTATACACAAATGTGCACCAGTTCAAGTCGCCACACTCCGTGTAGCACGCGAAGCAAGCGAAGAAAGTACAAGAAAAGCATAATACAAACAGTGAGCAGAGGTGTGAGACAAAGGAGTAGTAACGAAGAACAAAACAGTTTCATTGGAAATCATAAATCACAAGGAGTGGATTCATCTGCGCCAGTCATTAAGAACGATTTTGAGCCATGTCACCAATTGTTTCCAACCATTGATTTTTACCGTCTCGAGGACCCCAGCCTGGAAGTCTACACCTTCCTACGTGGCTTAGACCAACTATTGTGGATTTCATTGATTGATGCCAAGTTTTTGTTTGACCGCCGCTAGCTTTTTTCCAGCCCGACCCTATATCCGCTAACATTGCTCGTCGAGGGAGGCGATGGCTTGGCATACGTAACACATGTCCTAACCATCTCAGTCTTTGTAGCTTCACGACTTCGTCGATTGATTTCCCCTGTTTACCTAGAACTCTACGCCTAACCTCAATGTTGCTCACCTTATTATGCCACTTTACACGGGAAATAGAGCGCAGGCATCTATGATCAAAGACAGCTAGTCTTTTCATGTCTTCCACTCTCAGTGGCCAGGTCTGAGAATGGATGCTCTTCTACAAACATTGTTATTTATACAATTCCCTTCAATTTGGTTAGAGGATTTCATCATCAGGAGCTGACATCAGTTAGAGAATCATTGAAAAATCTAGGAGTACCGGACAGCTGTTTCATCCACCTAGTTTGGGACTCGGATCCCAGTGGCCTAATGGCTACACAGGCTCGCTAGTCTTGAAGCAAAAAGGTCCCGGGTTCGAATCCCGGTGAGTGCATACTGATGAAGAGTCCCAAACTAGGCAGGCTATCGACAGCTATCGAGTACGCCCCCCACCCCGGTCGTTTTCCAATGGTTCTCTAACTGATGTCAGCTGATGATGAAATCCTCCAACCAGTAAAACTAAACCCCTACAGAATTAATACTTGAAAATTCCGTTTTTTCAGGTTAAATACACACAAACACATGAGTAGTGTGACAACAAGAAATCTTCGTCAAAACATATAAATAAGTTTAGCAGCCTGAAATCAATCTGGAAATCTTCGTCACTCAGCATCACCAACAAAATTCGGATTTTCAATACAAACGTAAAGTCAGTCAGTTCTTCTATACCGATCAGAAACTTGGCGGGCGGGTCACAAAGAATATTTTCAAAAGGCTGCAGACCTTTATTAACAACTGTCTTCGCTCAATACTGAAGATCAGATGGCCGGAAAGAATCACCAACAAGGAATTATGAGAACAAACAAAGCAAGAACCAATCGCCCAACAAATATGCAGGAGAAAGTGGAGATGGATCGGACACTCGCTGAGGAAACCGCTGGGTGACATCGCGCGCCAAGCCCTCGAGTGGAACCCGAAAGGGAAGCGGCGTGTGGGACGTCCAAGGCTGACATGGAGGAGATCGTGTGAAGAGGAGTTGAAAGAATATGGATTAACATGGATGCAGGCGAAAAGTATAGCAGAGGACAGAAGAAAATGGAGACGTGCAGTTGAAGCCCTGTGTTCCACTAGGAACCCAAGGGAGCAATAATAATAATAATAAATAATATGTGAACTATATGGGACTATATAAGACTTTATTTGTGATACAGTAAATAAATGCTCTAGGGTAAAATGGAGATGGACCGCGCATAGGTTGAGAAGGCCGTCGAATTACCGCACACCAGTCAGGCCATCACTCGAGTAGAACTCTAGTCGGAAGTGACGAGTGTCTTGTCACTGTGATGGCGACATGGAGGAGATCATATGGCGAGGAGGTGATGAGAGATTATGGGCAATCGTGGATCCAGATGAAGAGGACAGCAGAAAATAGAACAAAGAGGAGATGTGTTGCGGAATCCCTATGTTGTATTTGGAACCCAAAAGAATAACAACAATAAATAAATGCCCTATACCGAGGCATTGTCCAGTTAAATTACTGTATACCTGTACTAAAGAGGTACGCGTTTTGTTCAATAACGAACTGTATTTTCAAACGGATGGTGTAGTAATGAGAATCCCATTAGGGTGCCTGTAAGCAGTTAGGTTTTAGGTGAGTCTAGAATATACTGCCTTAAAGGATTGTATAAGAAAAGCTGGCATATACCGACGGTATATGGATGACATATTGTTCGTGGTATGCAGAGATAAGATCGAAGCTGAGAGCTTTACCGTTATTAACAGGACGTAATAAAATAGCTCTTGATTTTACTGAAGCCTATTTAAGCAATCAGCAAATTAAAGATGCCGGATTTAGGCATACAAAAGGAGACAGTGTAGTGAGAGCTGTCTGCAAGCCGAAATTGTAGAAAAGAATTTACGTCAATCTCTACGTCCCGAATCAGGGTCATAAGAAGAAAGAATAACAAAGCTTAACCTCGAGGAACTCACCAACCAATCACAGCATAGTTAACGTTTGCAAATACGATCCGCAGATATATGGCCTGACTATCGAAAAAACGGCCACAAAGAGATGACAGAATAACCTTGAGCAAGAAAACAACCAATGAGAAGACGTTGCTTCTCTGCTAACAATAACACGCTGATAATAATGCACACAAAAGTTTATAAATATCTCTTGATTTTCTTCATAAACGATCTGTTGGTTGGCCCTTGTCTCTTCTGTCGTCACAGTATAACTATGTCTTTTCTATTCTTCAGTTTATTCAAAGGATTTTGCTCTTGAATGTTAAGTAAGGTATTATTACGCACCCACCACACGGGGTTAGAACTAACAACCTCCTAGACACAAAGCGGGTTGGTAGACCAATTAGAAACTGGGACTTAATCCGATGGCGAGTGGATCCTAACTTCTGCCAGTTTGCGATGTATATAATGCCATTGGATCAGATCGCAGTGGCTTAATAATGATCTACCAGTCCGCCTTGTGACCAGAATGTCCTGGAGTTCGAACTCTGTTGGGTGCACACTGATAATTAGTCCCTAACTAGGACGAAGTTTACCGTTCAGTACTCCCCGGTTTTCAATACTTCTCTAACCGATATGTCTGTGATCGCACTTGAAAACAAATCCAATCCTTGCAAACCAACACTTGATAAAGGCATTTATCCACGTACCCTTTGTACAGAAAGAAGTTGCTGACGGTTGCTTATTTACCCATGTCTGGATGGGTATTTTTACATGAATTATAAAGGAGAATCTTGGATTTCACCGTTAGCTGCTAACATCCACAAAACAAAATATCGCATTAACCTTAAAGGTGTCACTAAAATATCTATATACTACAAGTCGATACTCCATCAATCGAATTGAAACATTTCGCTCTAATGAAATCAATGAATCAATCAATAAATCAATAAATAGAAAATTCAGAAATAATCACAATCATCATAACAGATAAATAAATCACTATATTTGATCATGTGTTAATAAGATTATACACATTGCTAAACACTGACTTACTTACCAATGATTCAGTTAATCGGCCTAATACTTTAATCAATTGAATATTACGTAATGTAGGTAGAATTTGTTCTGATTTATTTCCATCCTCTGGTAATTCATCTCGTATCATATGAATTAATTGATCTGTTTCAGCTACAGCTAATCGTGTTGCTTCACGTTCATGAATTATTCCATGTAAACGCTGTAAATATAAATATATACATATATAAAAATGAAGGCGATCATACATTATAATAATAGTAATCACAACACAATGAATTACTTTCGATATTTTACTTTCTGATTTCATGTGCTTGTTCACGAATTTAGTCAGATAATCGTTTCTACATAGTAGATCACAAATATTACCGAGTTCTTCATTCAGGGTCTCATTTAAATAGACAACCACAGCCCGGTGAAACAGACATCTAACCAGATAACTTTTCTAAGACAGAGTTACTGTCTGTCTGCCTGTTTTCGACATAGAACTATGCATCGATGTGCAGACATTCAAGTTGCCACACTCCCTCTATGTAGCACACAAAGCAAGAGAAGAAATTAGAAGAAATGCATAATAAAGGCAGTAAACAGGGATATGAGATAAAAGGATTAGTAATATGGAAGAGTAATAGTTTTATTGGATATTCTAAGTCACAAGGAGTGGATGCATCTGCGACATTGAAAACGATTTTGAACTGCATCACCAATTCTCTCCAGCCTTCATTGGTTTTTACCGTCCCGATGACCCCGAACAATCACGAAGTCTACACCTCTCTACGCGGGTGGCTTGAACTAACTGTTGTGAATTTCATTGACTGATGAGGCCATGTTTTGGCTTGACCGCCTCCAGCTCTTTTATAACTTGATCCTACGTCAGCTAAGATTGCCTGTTGTCGAGGAAAGCGACGGCTGGGATAGTTATACGTAACACATGTCCTGACCATCTCAGTCGATGTAACTTTACAGCCTCGTCGATTGATTTCCCCTCCTTACCTAGTCAATCACTCGACACCTAACCTCAATATTGCTCACCCTATTATATCACTTCACACGGGAGATAGAACACAGGCCCCTATGGTCAAAAACAGCTAGCCAGGCTTCTCATGTCTTCCACTCTCAATGGCCAGTCATAAATGAGGAAGTGGGAGGGAACTGTTGAGCAGTATACACGCCCATTGGTCGACAGCCAACCGGATATCACGTCTACTAAACCAGAGACGGCGTAAACTGGCATGTGTGAAACGAGCCTTCTGTATCTGTACTGAGATTTCGTCAGCGATCAACCCACTGGCGTTGGTTGATGAAACTTCCTAAATAAGTGAAGTGGTCAACGTGCTCTTCCACTTCACTCCTTATTTCTGAACTAGGCATCATTGTCGTCCAGTCCTGTAACATCATCTTACATTTGATGGGAGTGATACGCGTCGGTGGCACAGTGGTTAGGACTCTCGCCGACCATGCACATGGTCCGGGGTTCGAGCACGCACCGACGCACATCTGATATCTATGGTCGGCCTGCAAAATTTGGGCTACCGATATCCATGCTGAAAATTCCATACTTGTACCGAAAATACAGTGTGGAATCAAGCTGTAAATCAAAAATAAAAAAATTAAAAAAAAGTAAAATAAAAATACGCATGCCAGACATTCGTAGGTTGCAGATCAAGGTGTTCAGAAGACTTTGTATTTTGTCAGTCAGCGTCTTCACCCAGGTGGGAGGACTATATCACCTGCATATTTTAAGTCAACAATATTATTCCCTGGTAGCAAGTCAATCCCTCATTCCGGGAAGTGAGTTAGGGTTAATTCCATTAGCACAACATCTATAATGAAATTGGATAGAAATGAGGACAGTGTGCAGGACATCCTTGTCAAATGTCACTAGTTGTCACTAGTTCAGATGACAACTCACCGTAAGCTCTTACCTGGCTGGCTGGCATGAGTTCGAGTAGAGTTCCTTGGTCAGTGTGCAGTGTGATTATATTTTCCAGTGGAAGTAAGTTTCCAATGCAATTGTGTACATATTGTTCCTCTTCCGTTCGTTTAATCATTAGGACATCCAAAAAGGGGATAAAGTCCTTTTCTTGTTCTTCTTCCTTAGTGAAGTTTATGCTAGTATGTGATCTATTGAATTTATCCAGTTTTTCCTTACTAAGTCTCACTTTCTTTCCTCTCACAACCATACATACAGACAACAGAAATCAAGATTATATATTACATCTTTAAGAGGACCATTCTCTCGTTTCACCAGTAAAAAAAAATCTGCTAGAATTGGGCCTGAAGACTGGCCGCCAGAAGGAATTAGTAACACGAAACTATGGTAACAAAAACTATTCAAGAACCTACCGCTTAACAAATCTGTAAAAAATAAAAATGCAGGTGGACTAGGCGCAAACGCTGAGGTGACTGTCGAATAACATCGTGCATGAGCCTAGCCATCGCTCAAATGGCACCTAAAAGGGTAACAATGCGCTGGGCGTTTTTCCCCCAAGGGTGACATGGAGGAGATTATGTGAAGAGGAGATCAGAGACTAAGGGGAAACGTTTTGGGCCAGCTAAAGAGGACGACAGAGAATAGAGTGCAGTGGAGACGTGCTGCTGATGCCCTAGGTTCTACTCAGAACCCAAGAGAACCTAAGAAATAATAGTAGTAGTAATAATAATAATAAGAAGAAGAAGAAGAACAGATCCACAACAAAGATCTCTGGGAGCGAACCAACCCAGCAGGAAACGATATCGCAAATAGATGTAGGTTGGACATACTCTGAGAAAACAAATCATCAAGTGACATCACACGCCAGGCCATTGCTCGAGTGGAACCCGAATGGGAGGCGGCGAGCTGGTCGTCAGTGCGAGGGTAACATGGAGGATGTCATGTGAAGAGGAGACGAAAGCATGTGGGCAGACGTGAAGCCATGTGAAAACGTTGGCAGAGGACCGAACGCAATGGAGACGTGAGGATGAAACACTATGTTCCTCTAGGAACTAAACCAAATAATAATAATAAATCAACGCACACACAGATCAAATACTCAACTATACCAGCAGTAATCCAATTACTCGCAAAAGAAACTGTAGCACTCCAGAGTTGAAAAAAGAATGGAAGAAAAATACCTACAAACGGTCTTCAAAAAGAATGGTTATCCACAAATTTCCATCAAAAAGTGTTGAAAGCCGAATCAAAACACCAACAAGGAACCATCATTAAAGAACACAAGAAAATTCATGCTACAATACATAAAAAATATCTCTGAAATAACAGCTAGATTATTGAAACCGTTTGATATGGACATAGCACACATGTCAGTCAAATCGCTTAATTCGATATTATGCAAACCGAAAGCTACATCCAATAGAAAAAGAATATAAAATTAATACCGTTTACAAAATAAATTGTATGAACTGTAACAAGCATTACATCGGCTAAAGTGGGCGTCCCCGTCGAATCTGAATCCAGGAACACGATATATATTCGTGTTTCATATCAATGCATATAGATAATTATGGATATCAGTTTGATTGTGATATTGTCGAAATCTTAGACAGAGGAAACACCAAAAGTGCAGTCAGGGAATTCCTAGAAGCCTGGTATTCAAACGAATATGTAATTAACAAACACGTTAATATAGACCAAATCTACCAACTAGTAAAAAATAAATCATGTGACGAGAAAGTTTAAAATCCAAGTCTCTGTCTGTCTGGATTCAACATAGAACTTGGCACCCAAGTGTACCAGTTCGAGTTGCCGCGTCCCAAATAGCACACAGAGGTAGACAAGAAGATGAGTGAAGAGAATCAACAGAGTTTGACAAGTACAAGAGTGAAACAGAATGGGTAATAGTAGAAAGGAATATGAAAGATTACAGAGACTGAATACATCTGCGCCTGACATTGACAACGATTTTGAGCCATGCCACCTATTGTCTCCAGCCATTGATTCCTAGAGTCCAGAGGGCCCCAACCCGGAAGTCTCCATCTCCCTACCTGACTGACTCAGTTTAACTGTCAAGGATTTCATGGATTGATGAGGCCATGTTTTTGTTTGGCCACCACTTACTCTTTTCCAACCTGCACCTATATCAGCTAGCTAGTAATGCCCGTCGTCGGGGAAGGCGATGGTTAGGCATGCGCACCACCTGACCTAGCCATCTCAATCTATGTAACTTTATAGCCTCGTCGATTGATTTTCCCTCCTTGCCTGCTCAACACTCTACGCTTAACGTCAACATTACTTACCTTATTATACCACCTAACGTGAGACAGAGATCGCAGACATCTATGATCGAAACCAGTCAACCTTTTCATGTCTTCAACGCGTATTGGCCATGTTTCAGAGCCATAGAGAAGGACGGAGCGAACTACTGAGCAGTACACACGTCCCTTGGTTGATAACCGGATGTCACGCCTACGCCAGAGATGGTGTAAGTCAGCGAAAGCAGCTCGAGCTTTTCGGATCTGTGCTGAGATTTCATCGCCAATCAGTCCGTTGGTGCTAATACAACTTCCCAAATAGGTGAAGTGGTCAACATGTTCTATCACTTCACTCCCTATCACTAAGTTAGGAGTTGACGTGGTCCAGTCCTGTAGCAGCATCTTACATTTTGTAGGGGCGAATCGCATGCCAAACATACGAAGATTGCTGCTCAAAGTGTTCAGAAGACTCTGCTGGATTTTGTCATCATCCTCCCCTAACAGGACTATGTCGTCTGCATATTCTAAGTCCATAAGATTATTCCCTGGTAACAAGTCGATTCCTAAGTCACTGCGTTCAGTTAAGGATACTTCCATCAGCATATCTATGATGAAGTTAAACAGAAATGGGGAGAGTGGACATCCCTGTCGGACACCACTGGTTGTTACGAATTCAGATGACAATTCCTCATAAGCCCTTACACGACTACGTGAGTTTGAATAGAGTGCTTTGATTAGTGCAATGTACTTTATTGGCACTCCCTTCACAGTCCAAGTCCAAGTCAATAGAAAATGTTCAGTATAGATGTAAAGATGGTTACCGAGAAACGCGATTCTATCACTCATGAAAAGAAATTTAAATCACTTCACTTTATGCCGAAAATTGCACTGAAGATGTTGTCCAGAAGGGGGACGACAAAAGCTCCGCAACTAAACCAGCCAGCTCAGAGAACACTATTAATTGCAAATCATCCATGCAAACAACAGAGAGGCTAACAAATAACCAGTAGACATAATTTTAATGAATCGATTGTCTTACCATGTACTCCAATCCTCTATCTGCATTATCCGTCTGATCTGTACTACTGCCTAGTCCATTAGCAAATGGTATTATAGTTGTTGTATGCATATTACTACTAATACTACTTCCACCAGCAATACAACTACTTATATCATTATTATATAAGCCTAAGGCGATTGCACAGACTGGTGTGATTGTCGAATCACCACCTTCTCCTGAAGTAGTAGCTTTATCTCTTCCATCAAGTTTTTGCTCTTCTGAATAACCTTTTCTATCTGCTGAATTAATGTTATCACGCTTGCCTGCATCATCATAGCCAGCTGTAGTGGTGCTACCCGGAGGAGCAACAATTGCACCATGTCGTTTCTTTGTGAAGGCTTTCTCCATTAGTGTATTATTAGCCAATAGACGTGCTTCATGTGTAGCCATACGTTGCCATGATGGGAATTTTCTACGAGAAGAAAAAAGAACGGGAAGACACATGAACATGAAATACAAAATAGAACTATTAGATGGTTGAAGGCAATCAGAAGGAAGCCCAGTCATCCAACCTACATTTCATGCTTGTTGACACTCGTCAGGTGCCTTTAAGCAACTGATTCCACACTTCTGAGGTTCGAGTCCGCGTCACTCAGTACTGGAACAAACAAAGGATTACACTAATTACTAACTAGTATCCAATACAGTCCCATAGAAGGTCAGTTGCCAGCCCAAATTAGCTCAATGGTTAGGTCACTGACTGCAGCAGTAGGTTCCTCTAAGGCTGCAGATACGCCTTGCATGCTGGTGAGTTCCAACAAGCACGAAACTTTGGTTCTATCAGGGTTTCCTGCCGATTGTCTTCAACCACCTGAACAACTCAGATTGCACCGTGACAATGAGCTACCTAGCGTGGTGGTTACATTACAAACTTGACTGACAGAATTCAGTTTGCACTAAGCATAGGAATCGATGCCTAACATTGGTTAATTACCACCTTGTGTTCAGTCAGAGTACAAAAGACCAATGTTTTCATTAAAACACAAACATACATTATAGGTGCCAAGAGATGCACCACATAAAATCTCATAGTTTGCGCGACGGTTTGGATACTGTCAAAACTCCTAGACCAAAGCAAGTCGTTGTCTCAAAGGTCGACCTCCATAACGAACCTTTCACTTGGAGTCTGATTCACAAGGCAGTGAGTGAGTGGAGTAGCATCAGGAGCTACATTCTCATGGTTACCAAAACATGGTTTTATCAGTCAATGACACCCACAACAGTTATTATTATTATTATTGTATCCTTTAGTTCCTAGAGGAACATAGGGCTTCAGCTGCGCACCTCCATTGACTTCGGTTTTCTGACAACTTTTTCAACCTGCTCCAGGTCTGTCCACATGCTTTCATCTCCTCCTCGCATGACCTCCTCCAAGTCACCCTTGGACGACCAACTCGCCGCCTCCCTTTCGGGTTCCACTCGAGGGCTTGTCTAGTGATGTCACTTTGATGGTTTCCTCAGCGTATGGCCAATCCATCTCCATTTCTTTCTGCCTATTTGTTTCACAATCGGTTCCTGATTGGTTCGCTCCCAGAGATCCCTGTTGCTGATCTTTTCTGGCCATCTGATCTTGAGTATTGAGCGGAGACAGTTGTTAATGAAGGTTTGAAGTTTGTTTGAGATGCTCTTTATGACTCGCCAAGTCTCTGATCCGTATAGTAGCACTGACTTCACATTGGAGTTGAAAATCCGGATCTTATTTTTGAAGCCAATCACGTAGGAAGGTGTAGACTTCCTGACTGGTTGGGGTTCTTGGGACGGTAAAAACCATTGAAGGTTGGAGATAATAGTGATATGGCTTAAAATCCTCGTTCTCAATGACTGGCGCAGATGCATACACTCCTTGTGACTTATAATATCCAATGAAACTATATTGTTCTTCGATATTACTATTCCTTTTGTCTTATATCCTCGTCTACGGTCTCTATTTTGCATTTCTTCTACTATCTTCTCTTGTTTTGTGTGCTGAGTGAAGTTTGGCGACTCGAACTGCTGCACATCGGGGCAGTCATATGTTGAAACCAGTCAGTCAGTTACTGATGACCAAAACAGATTCATATGCTATTCGGGTCAGTCATATTCTGGAGCCTCAGTACGCCATTAGGTTTGGAATCAGGATTTTCCAGATACTTTTGGTAGATCTGCATGACAATCAGTCCGGTTGTAAACGCTAGATGTTTACATTTGCTCTTTCACTTTGTGAAGAAACGCCGTGCCCCCACAACTCCCCCCGAAGCTTGAAGACAGTGAGTACGACTTTCCAGACAGCGGGAAGTTATGAACGCGTGGCAATTTGAAAGCATTTAAAGAGGAAGACCAAAGTCTATTTAACCTCGGTTGGACCAGATCATTTATAGCGACACACGAAAGAATACATGTGAACACACGCAGAAGACAGTGATCACATTGCGCAAAGGGGTCTACTAGACCTTGGTATAAATGCTCAACTCTAAAACAAGGAATTATAGTTTTTTGAAATACAGTGGACCTAAGTAGCAGAACCGACTTGCCGATTATTAATTGTTGATTAACTGTGATTCTCATTGATAAACTGTATTTATTCATCACACACCAAAGTAATATGATCAGCAAAGCTTAGTGTGTATATATGAAAGCGTGTGAACGTTTATTTCCCAACCTACAACACTGTGGAAAATTATTGCCACTAGAAATGTCTGAAAGAGAGGGAAGATTAGTATTACGTAAACACACAGTCTCCTTACTAGAAGATTGCAGATTCGTGTCTCATCGTGAATGTGGCTGTCGTCAGTGGTTCAGTGATGCGCACTGGGTGCGAGGCATGGATCCTTGGCCGACGCATTCCTAAACCTCATTAGGCAGGTAGTAAAATCCAGTGAAGGGAGAAGAGGTTGCGAGTGAGGTTAGCAATCATACCCCGTAATAATAAAACTGCTGCCACTGAAACTTCAAGCGTCCGAGGGAGAAATGGAGGAGATCGTGTGGTGACGAGGAGATGTTGGGTTATGGGCAGTCGTGAGGCCAGATGAAGAAGACAGCAGAAAATAGAATAAAGTGGAGATGTGTTATTGAAGTCCTATTTTCCAATCGGAACTCATAGGAATAATATAAAACACACAACCCAGGGAAAAACTGCTTGACGCCAATCACACACGGTCCGTTTGGATCTATGTCCATAAAACAACAACTCTGCTGCCTGCTACGAAGTGCCGTAAAGTAAGTCAAGAAGTAAGATTTTTCGCGCCGACGTTTTCTCATCCACCTTTGTCCAGAGTAGAGAGGAAGTAGAGCTAGTTAACTGGTCGTTTGAGAGGAACATGCCAATGTTACAATCCTATCCACTAGCATTACGATCTCATCATGGAAAGTTACTGTGAATATAAACAGAATCTTTTAAAGTTTACTGATATCAGATTACTGGTTTACTTCGATTATAGAAAGTAGATGTAAGTTAAGAAGTACAGAAATTAAAATGCAAAGAACTCACTTCCAAAATCGACTAACATCATCATCTTTTGACCATTCAGAACTTGGCACAGCTAAACCCCCACCTTTTTCAACTTCACCAATATCTAATTAAGTAAAAACAAATCCGATAACAATAGGTTTAATTAAGATATGATTCTAAAAGGTTGAATGTTTACTATATGTACCAGTCTCCAAGAGCAGTTAGTAATCACCATACCTTTGTAACCAAGTGGTGAAAACTAGTGGTGTCCGACAGGCATACCCTTCACACTATCCCCACTTCTATTCAATTTCACCATAGACGTACTAATGGACTTAACCCTAACTCATTTCAGAGAATCAGGGATTGAATTTCCACTAGAGAACATTCTCGTTGACTTAGAATATGCAGGTGATATAGTCCTCTCTGTCAGGTGAAGACGCTGACAAAATGCAAAGTCTTCTGAACACCTTCAGCTGCAACCTGCGAATGTTTGGCATGCGATCCGATCCCTCTGTCAAATGTAAGATGATGACACAGGACTAGACTGGACAATATTGACACCCTCCTCCACTTATTTGGGGAGTTGCATCAGTCAAAGCTAGTGGATTGATCGCTGACTAAATCTCAGCACAAACACGGAAGGCTTGTTTCGCAAATGCCAGTTTACGCCGTCTCTGGCCTAGTAAATGTGGTATCCGGCTGGTCATCGATCAAACGGCGCGTGTACTGTTTTGGATCAGCTGACATGTGACACTGTCATATACGAGGTTGATAAAGATTTTGGGCACTGTTGAAGTAGTTTCCAAGTGACTTCACAATCAACGCTATCGATGGCCTTTCCACTGTCAATGAAGTACAGAGTTGACTTTGATTATACTAGTGAACATGGGACAGCTTCAAGCTAGAGGCTTGAAGTTTCTGTAGCAGTGATGTTTATTTTTTTTTATGAGATGGGGTTGCTAGCCTCATGACCCACCTTTCCTCTTTACTAGCTTTTTATTTCTGGCTTAGTGAGGTGAAGGAGTGTGTCGGTGGCCGGGGATCGAACCCCGGACCACGTGAGGTGTGGTCGGCGAGCGTCCTAACCGCTGTACCACCGACTCCCAGTATTCAGATAATTATTTACAATCTAGGGACTAAAGTCTCAAATATATATATATATATATATATGAATTTATGCAGTAAAATGCTGCTGAGTATCTTCTCTTTGTCTTTCTCTCTCAGGTTAACTATCCGCTTTTAAATCTGATAGTGATAATGACAGACATTTTAGTGAAATTATTTCCCTCGTTTAGCTTTTGATGTCGTCTACATACAGGCTACCTTTGCCTATCAAGATAATAAACCTATAAATGAATTCCACATTAAAACAAAGTAATAAGAGCCATAAGCACAAAATAATAATAACACGAATAACGTCAATCAGAGAGATCTACACTCATTTATAAATTGTTCATTGTTCAATAGAAACATTGAACGATACATAAGCGCCAATTTTAAATGAGAATTGCTTTTATGGATTGCAGTGGAAAAATGAAATGAATATAATGATGGACAGTTAGTAATAACAATAATAATAGTATGATAAACTAGACTCAATCCAATCCTGTTACTGCCTTAGGCGAAATAAAAGGATACAAGACAATAATGATGTCTGTACGAAAATAGATAGAATATGAATTTCAACTTAGACTACTGTTTAGTCGTATAAAAGAAAAGATGTTTAGAGGAGAGTTTCATGAAGGAGAAAAAAGACTCCACAACCACAGCTCTATCCTTGTGCAATGACAGAAGACAAGGTCCAGGCAACAGATCGTTTATTGAGAAAATCAACAGATATTTATAGATTTTTATGTACACTATTATTAGCGTTATTATTAGCGGAGAAACGGCGTCTTATGATTGGTCGTTTTCTCGTCATCTCCTTGTGGCCATTACTTTGAAGGTCAGACCGTATATCTGCGATTCATATCCGCCCACGTAAAGTCTGCAATGATTGGTTGTTGCGTTAGTCTTTCTCCTTGTTGTTTTTTTCTCATGACTAAGATTTAGGACGTAAACATTGACGTAAATTGATATCTACCAATTTCGGCTATCAGACAGCTATTACCACATTAGAACACCTGATCGAATTTAAACACCAAGCTAACCCTACAAACTAACTTCAAAGTCATCGCCAGAATATGTGGGATTCTTGCTAAAAGAGTACGAATCAAACTTCTTCAAACCCTAGAAGCAATGGCAATTCACATGTTGAATCGTGAACTCTATAATTACACCAACAAGGGACTTGATCTGTCTTAACATTGGATATGCAATTTTTGTTTCTTAATTGTATTATTTTCTTTCACCACCCTCTTTCTATTAAATTTTTGCCGTTCATTACAATCGCTGGTAACTTGACTACTGTTCAACATTAGTTCAATTCTACTTAATCCTGTATGCGTCGGTGGTACATCGGTAGAATGCTCGCCAACTATGGATGTGGATTGGGGTTCGATCCCCGGCCACCAATGCACTCCCATACTTCGCTAAACCTGTAATAAGACTGGTAAAGAGGGAAGGTAGGGCATGAGGCTAGCAACCTCAACACGTGAAAATAAAAGCCACTGCTACCGAAACTTCAAAGCTCTAGCTTGAAGCTGCCCTATTTTCCACTGGGAACATAAAGGAATAGAAGAAAAAACTCAATCCCATCAATTATATTACGTCACTCAATTCACTTAATTTAATTTTAGTTTCTAACCGATTAACACTTTTTGTATCACATAAATGGTTATCTAAATTCTACAATTCCTTTAGTTGCTAAGACAGTTTACTATAATAAATATGTGATTGTACAGCTCCACAATGATATGGCTGAAAAGAGCAACACTTCGCTGAACGTCTTTTCTTTTATACTGTTGAGAATACAATATGACATCGTAAACTAGATAAAAAAGAGATACAATAAGGGGCCCATAATGGACGAAGGAGATTTAGAAAGGCTAAATGCATCTGTGCTAATAAAAGAATGATTTTGAGTCATATCACCAACAGTCTCAAGTACCCCTGAGGACCCACGTCAGTCAGTCAGTCAACCTGTACTACGCAGCGTGGCTCAAAACCAAATTTTCCCCCTTAACTAGCATTAGACCAAAGCCTAACCTCAATATTGCTTATCTTATTGTACCAGTTAACACGGCAAACAGAACGCAGGCATCTATGACGAAAGACAGCTAGCCAGCCTTTTCATGTCTTCTACTTCCAATGGTTAAGTTTCACAGCTATATAAAGGAAGACAGAGAGGACTGCTGCTGTGTATTACACACACCCACTGGTCGAGAGTCAGATATGACGTCTACTAAGCCAGAGATGCCATAAACTGGCTGACAAATCCCAAACAGGCCATCTATATGCCTGCTGAGATTTCGTCAGCGATCAACCCGCTGGGACTGGCTGATGCAAATTCCCTAGTAAGTAAAGTGATTAACACGCTCCACCAACCAATTTACTGCCCACGTCTAGGTTAGGAGTCAATGTAGTCCAGTCAGTCCCTGTAGCATCATTTTACATTTGACGACGGTAAATTGCATGTCAAGCATTCGAAGACTGCTGTGCAGCTCAAGGTGTTCAAAAGACTCTGAATTTTGTCGGTCAGCATCTTCACCTACAAGGACTATATCATCTGCACATTCTAAGTCAACGAAGTTATTTCCTGGTAACAAGCTAATCCCTGAATCGCTGAAGTGAGTTAGGGTTAAGTCCATTAGTACATATATGCTGAAATTAAACAGAAATCGGGACAGGACTGTGTCAGATATTTTGAAATGACACTAGCTGGTGTCACGCGTCCAGTCTTCTGCTTGGTGTAGAATGAATTCTGTCATCAGTTAAGTTTCTAGTGTGACTACCAACAGGCTAGGTGGTGGCACGTCATCATGATACACCCTGAATTCTTGTTATATTATGGTTGGAGGCGATTGGCAGGAAGTCCAAACCAACCTAGGTTTCGTGCCTGTTGGCACTCACCAGTCAGTCAGGAACTAACAATCCCTTTGAGATTTCAACCAACATCTCATAGTGCTGCAATCAGAGATGTTAGACCACCAAGATATTTGTGTTTGTGACTGACTTCCAGTGAGACTGTTATGCCCGACCGAAAGCTGCTACCTTGACGTGGTGGTCAGGCTTGGACACCGAAATTACCTAATCAAGCTATACTGGCTGAGACTTATGTCTCTTGAGGTCCTACCATACCAGAAAGGTTGTTTGGATAGCGGTCAGACAAAAAGCAGCTACCCAATCCAATACTATGATACAAAGAAACTCACAAAATATCATGCCGGATCGATCGGGGCCCGGATTAACAACAACCGCGCTTCCTGACGCCGTGTCACAAGGCAGAAGTGATAAATATGCTACTGAGACACACCAAACAATAAAGAACAAACAGACAGACAGACGGAGACTGTTATGGGTAAATTCAACAGCCACTGTACATCTCAATGACTACATGGATGATATTGACTACTCTTCCAGTGACCGATCAATATAAACATCAGGCATACCCACTCTCATGAGTCTCGCTCTCTTCGCCGTCATCACAAACACACACACACACATACGAAGACAGAAAAATGATTGACTACTTCAAAAATTTTCTTAATTCTTTGCGTTCTCGGTAGAAAACAGGGCTTCAAGTTTAACCTTTGAGGTGTTTATTTTTCCTGGTTGAGGTTGCCAGCCTCCCACCCAACCTTCACTCTTTATCAGGCCTACAACCTACTAGGGAGGTAGAGGTGTACGCCGGCCAGGAATCGAATCCCAGACTATATGCATCGACTACTTCAAATAATCAAAACATTTTATTCCAGGACTTCATCATGATATGATATCGGTTAGAGGACCGTTGGAAAATCGGTACTCGATTATTGTACAGCTGTTTCGTCCCAGTTCGAGACTCTTCACCAATAATCACCTACCGCCAGGGTTCGAACTCAGGACATTCCCGTTACGACAGGCGACCTCGTAGATCATTAAGGCCACTAGAATCCGATTCAATGGCCAATCCATGATTTTCAACTTCTGCCAATTCATGGAATGGTGCGACCACTAGCGAATGTCATCGCTGGCGAGTATCTGTCTTCACACTCGACCTGCTGTACCCTACTAGCCACAACTTCCCACTAGAACCCAGGTAACAAACTACCTGAATAGGACTAGTCACTAGTGAGCACCAGATTGATTCTCAAGTTTTAAAAGAATAGTTACTGAACAAAGAATACTCTTTGAAGGGATATGAGTTGATTGGTTTTAGGACCTCTAATCGACGTTAGTTGGTTCATGATAAAAAATCCTGTAACCAATCAAATGAAATGCCCTGCATAACATAAATATGAGAGAATATAAGTCATCTACTGTTATACCATATAAAGAGGGGACATCTGAGACCTTACGTGGGATTCTCAACAAAGCAGGTATAAGGGTGGCATTTAAACCTACAAACTCATTCAGGTAGAACAAGCTCTGTAGGTTAAAGGGCCCAGTTGACCCAATTAGACAAAATAATATAATTTACAAAATACCTTGCAATGACTGTGAGTTTAGTCAACTACATAGGTCAAACTAGTAGGTCATGGGTGGTCAGATTGTCAGAACATAAGAATTTAGATGAGGTAAGAATGGTTGACCCCACCCGAGAAGATGAGTAATTTAGAGAAAAGCTCAGCTATTGCAATGCATGCATTAACACACAACCACACAATACGGTGGGAGAGGGTTAAAATTCTAAAAAGTAATATAGGTAGGTGGGGAGAGAGAGGTTGATTACTGAATCCTTGTTCATTAAGTCTACACCCAACACATGAAATAGGGATGATTCATCACTCATACCTGAAATATGGAAAATACTACTACCAATCAAATCAAGTGAAAAATAGTGGAACTATACAAAAAAAAGTCAGAAAATTGTGGGAGTACTACCTTGATATGATTATGAGCGGTGATAAATTGTGCTCGAAACGTGGTCATAAGTATTCATTACTGTACAACACTGTGAGACTTTATCAAAACAAAATTTACCCATAATGGAATTACACTCCACCACAGTGCACAAGTTTTATTCTTATATCAAATGCCCTGAAAACCAGCACTTGAAAAGAAAAATTTATGCAATCGCCATAAAAAATATTGAAAAAAAATCTTCCATTAATTTTCAAAACACAACTCACTTCTATACAATCTCCATGCAGCAGTTATAAAATCATCTAATATTGTTAAACCAATTTGTAGACAACCATTCGCGTATTCTGGTAAAGCTGTACACATTTTTCTCACTTCCTCTAAACACTGATCCACTGTGTAAACAATCTAAGTGTGGGACAGAATTTCGAAAATAGGAGAGATTAAGCAATAAGAAACACAAATGATATCAATATAAGATGTTTGGAGGCAATCGGTAGGAAGCCCAGCCTTCGACCTAAGCTTCATGCTAGTTGGAACTCACCAGTGAACAAGGCGTATCTTCAGCCTTGAAGGGACCGCGTGTCCCTTGCTGACGAGTGCCAATTAGCATGAAACTTAGGTCAAAAGTTAAGCTTCTTGCAGATTGCTTTCAACCATCTAATATTAACAATTCACAGTACACTCCACCGTGATGTCGAGCCACCACCTAGTGGCATCATGGTGACCACCACATTGCAAACCTGACTGACTGATAGAATTCAGCCTGTTTCAAACAAAGGACTAGACATATTACACTAGTTACTGACTATTGTCCAATCAAAAGAGAAAGAATATTAATAGATAGATTTATACTTTGAAATACCAGGGGGCTTGACTTTTTGACTTGAACTTCCCAGGTTCGAAACATGGTGAGGTCGTTGGTGCGTACTGATGAGTTAGTAATCACAATGTTTATTATGTACTCGTCGCCAAATTTTTGTTATGTACTGGTCGAGAATTTAATAGTCCTGACGCAAGAAAGACAGAAATCAGAAGACCACTAGGTTTGCGATGATACTTCTATTTTCCAAACACAAGGAGAATCAAAATGTCACACAAGAGTGTGAGAGCAAAATATAAGTATGTCCGAACAAGTGTGTGAGCGAATATTCAAAATGAACAAATCAATAGACAGTCTTAACATGATTGGCTAATTATAATGGAATATCGATCCATACATACATAGCAAATATACAGACTGTCAAACACACATATTATATGGATATATATCAATGTTGAAATCAGTATCCGTATGCAGAATGAATGAAATCAGTTGAAACCATGGAATGATTGACGATGGTTAACTAAGTTAGGATCACACACACACACACACACCTCCAATACAGTTTATACTTCTGATATATAGGCTATAGATTAAGGAACTAATTACTAGGCTTACTAATCAATATGATATCTGAAATTCTAGGCTCGATAATCATGCGTGGACTAATTAGTGCTCGGGAGGCACAAACACAAGAGAACCAGTCAGGCTTTGCACCAGAAAGAGGGTGTATTGAACATATTCTCACCCGCCGACAGATTCTAGAACAAAGGCATACTTACCGATATCGTCCAACAATCATTATATTTCTTGACCCAAGGGCGGAATTCGATTCTGTCGACCGAGAGGTACTCTAGCAATGTCTGGCTGTTAAAGGAATGGCGAGAAAATACATTGCACTGATCAAGGAACTCTACTCGAACTCATGCAGCCAGGTGAGAGCCTACGGAGAGTTGTCATCTGAAGTGGTGGCAACTAGTGGTGTCCGTCAGGGATGCTATGCACACCTTCTCCATTTCTATTCAACTTCATCATAGATGTACTAATGGAATTAACCCTAACTGACTGACTTCAGCAACTCAGGGATTCACTTGCTACCAGGGAATAATCTCGTTGACTTAGAATATGCAGATGATATAGTTTTTCTAGACGAAGATACTGACCAATAAAATGCACAGTCTTCTGAACACCTTGATGTGCAATCTACGAATGTTTGGCATGTGATTCGCTCCCGCCAAATGTAAGATGATGCTACAGAACTGGACTACACTGATGCCTAGTTTAAAAATAGGGAATGAAAAGGCAGAGCACGTTGATCACTTCACTTATTTGGGAAGTTGCATCAACCAACACCAGTGGGTTGATTGCTGATGAAATCTCAACATGACTACAGGAGGCTAGTCTGGCGTACGCTAGTTTACGCCGTCTCTGGCGTACACGCGATATCCCCCTGACTGTCGACCAAAGGGCGTGTATTGCTCATCAGTCCGCTCCGTCCCGCTCCTTTATGGCTGTGAGACCTGGCCATTGAAACTGGAAGACATGAAAAGCCTGGCTAGCTGTATTTGATCATAAGTGTCTGCGTTCAATCTCACATGTGAAGTGGTACAATAGGGTGAGAAACATTGAGGTTACGCATTGAGTGCTAGGTAGGTGGGAGGGGAAATGAAACGACGAGGCTATTAAATTACATCGAATGAGATAGTTAGAACACGTGCTACGTTTGCCCAGCCATGGCTTTGCTCGACGGGGAATGTTAGCTGGCATAGGGACAGGCTGGAAAAGAGCTATCGGCGGTCAAACCAAAACATTGCTTCATCAATTAGTGAAATCCACAACAGTTAGTTTAAGTCACATAAGAAGCTATTGACTTCCTGACTGGTTGGGGTTCTCAAGATGACAAAAATTAATGAAGACTGGAGACAATCAGTGATCTGGCCCAAAGTCGTTCTCAATGTCTGGCGCAGATGCATGCACTCCTTGAGACTTATTGTATCCAATAAAACTATATTGTTCTTCGACATTACTATTCTTTTTGCCTCATATCTCTGTTTACTGTCTCTAGTTTGTATTTCTGTTTACTTTCTTCTCTTGCTTTGTGTGCTAAGTGAAGTGTGGCGACTCGAACTGCTGAACATCGGTGCAAAATTCCATGTTGAAATCAGATAGACAAACAGACAGTTGGTTAGCAGAAGGATTCGACTTATTTCACGTTAGATCACATACACACACACACACACACACACCGATATCAATGAAAGAAGTAGCGAAAAACTAAGGAGTGCCGATTACTTGTTTCGTACTGGCTTGGGACTCTTTAGCAGTATGCACCCATGAACCTATACCGGATAGAAAACCCTGAAAATCTTTACACTATTTTATTGACTTCACTTTTCTATGCTGATAGACAGTGAGCTAACTTCCATCAACAGGAAACTGTGTTGAAGGCGATATAAAATTTAATTTGATTCTACAATCGGACTGTCAAATTAAAGGAATCACTCGACTGGTTATTTATAGTGTTATATATTTAAGTGATGCAAAGATATCCCACTTACCATTAAAATCGGTCTGCTGAGATTCAATTCACGAATAGTCTGTTGAGAGACAACAGCTGTCAAAGCATCCGGAGCTGAAAAATAAGAGGGAAAAATACAACCAGAATGTGAAACAAAAGACGTTCAGCAAAGAGTCTGTCCTTGTAACAACATCATCCTCCAACTGTACAATCACATGATTATATATATATATATATATATGTTAGCGAAAAAGGAATAATTTTTCAAGACTTGATTTGCAGGGATATGATTTGTTTTTCAAGTTTGACAACGGATTTATATCAGTTAGAGAACTATTGGAAAAGTAGTACTGGAAAGCTGTTTCGTCCTAGTTTGCAGATCATCGGCAGTAGGTACCCAACGGGTTTCGAACCCGGGACGGCGTTTCTTGAATTTCTAGTGAGAAGTCGTACCCATTGGGGTCCATCTATCCGGTCAGTAGAGAGGACAAAAACTCGCCACGGATGACATTAGCTGGTTCCAGTCACGATGCAATCACGAATTGGTAGAAGTTAGAATTCATGGATTGGCCACTGAGTCGAGTCATAGTGGCTGTATAGTCTACGCGATTCTCTTGTAGTCGGAAGCTCCTGGGTTCGAAACCCAGTGGGTGTGTACTGATTATGAGTTCGCGACTAAGAAAAAACAGCTACATAGTACCCCCCCCCCCGGTTATCAATGGTTCTCAAACGGATATCAACCTGTGATCAAAGTTCAACAGGGATGTTTCCAAACACGTGCGATTAGCGTATTCCATTACCCATTCTGTTTCACTCTTATACCTGTCAAACTCTATTGATTCTCTTCACTCATCTTCTTGTCTACCTCTGTGTGCTATTTGGAACGTGGCAACTCGACCTAGTGCACTTCGGTGGCAAGTTCTATGTTGAATCCAGACAGACAGAGACTGTAAATCAAACACAATCCCTACAAAACCAAAACTTCAAAATAATTCTGATGCCCACTAGCGACTGACCCTATTCAGGCAGTTAACCTGTGGTTCTAGCGAGAAGTTGTGACCAGTAGGGTACAACAGGTTGAAGGTGAGGCAATAAATCATCGAAGAAGACATTGAGAAGTGGTCACGCTATGTATTTATTTATTTTTTTTACTTTTTATTTTTATTTTTGATTTACAGCTTGATTCCACACCGTATTTTTGGTACAAGTATGGAATTTTCAGCATCGATATCGGTAGCCCAAATTTTGCAGGCCGACCATAGATATCAGGTGTGCGCCGGCAGGGGATCGAACCCCGGACCATGTGGATGGTCGGCGAGAGTCCTAACCACTGTGCCACCGACGCAGTGCGTGAATTGGCAGAAGTTAGAATTCACGGACTGACCATTGAATCAGGTTCCAGTGGCCGAGTGAATGGTCTACGAGCTCGCTAGTCTTGTAAACGGAAGCTCTTGGGTTCGAACCCTGTTGGTAGGTGCGTACTGCTGATGAAACAGCTGTCTGGCAGTACTCCCTGCTGGTTTTCAATGATTCTCTAACTGATATCAACCCGTGATCAACTGGTAAAAATTAGTATTCATTCAGACATTTCCGAACACCATCCTGTGCATTGGTTAAGTAAAGGACAAACAAAATCCCATTCACAGCGCTATTCTGTCTCATTTTGTGTATACAGAAGACGAGACTGATGTTAACGAGGCGGCTTTCAAAGTTATCTACCGTATACCAACCAACTGATCTTAACTTCACCTTAAGAGTTCGTCTACTGCATATTGCTAAGGTCGTTGGGATCCCCACATTAAGAAACCTAACTTATGTGTATCCAAAAGAAGAAGTTGGTTCAGACACTGTCCGTACTTACCTTGGCCATCAAGGTTTTAATCATCTTCAATTTGTTGTGGAAATTTCCTTAATTTTATTTGATATTCTATTTGCTATTATACTTTTATGCTTATTATAACTTATGTGTGTGTCGGTGGCACAGTGGTTAGGATGCTCGTTGTGAGACCTGGCCACTGAGAGTGGAAGACATGAAAAGACTAGCTGTGTTTGATCATAGGTGCCTGCGCTCTATTTCCCGTGTAAAGTGGCATAATAAGGTGAGCAACATGGAGGTTAGGCGTAGAGTTCTAGGTAAACAGGGGAAATCAATCGACGAAGTCGTGAAGCTACAAAGACTGAGATGGTTAGGACATGTGTTACGTATGCCAAGCCATCGCCTCCCTCGACGAGCTATGTTAGCGGATATAGGGTCAGGCTGGAAAAAAGCTAGCGGCGGTCAAACAAAAACTTGGCATCAGTCAATGAAATCCACAACAGTTGGTCTAAGCCACGTAGAAAGGTGTAGACTTCCAGGCTGGGGTCCTCGGGACGGTAAAAATCTATGGTTGGAAACAATTGGTGACATGGCTCAAAACCGTTCTCAGTGGCGCAGATGCATCCACTCCCTGTGACTTATGATCTCCACCAATGAAACTGTTTTGTTCTTCGTTATTACTCCTTTGTCTCACACCTCTGCTCACTGTTTCTATTATGCTTTTCTTGTACTTTCTTCTCTTGCTTCGCGTGCTACACGGAATGTGGCGACTTGAACTTCCGCACATTTGTGCAAAGTTCTATGTCGAAAACGGACAGACAGACAGACAGATGCTCGCCAACTATGCACATGGTCCAGGGTTCGATCCCCGGCGGCCACTGACACACTCCTTTACCTCGCTAAGCCAGAAATAAAAAGCTGGTAAAGAGGAAAGGTCGGGCATGAGGCTGTCGATCCAACCCCTACAGAAACTTCAAGTCACTAGCTTAAGTCCTTAATGTTCCAGCACTGGGAACGTGAAGGAAGAAAAAATAATTCATGTATTTTTATAATGAACTGTAATTCCATTCATCTTACTTAACAACAAATCGATAGTGTTTAAAAAACCCTAATATTGTTAGTAATGATTATTCTAGAATATAATGAAAATATTCATTCAGACATTTGTAAAAAGCAAAAAGAATTGAGCAAAGAAGAATATCCTTTTCGATAATTTACTCCCCTTCTGGCTCTACAATTATATACGTGTATGTCTATAGACGTAGAATATTCTAGAATAGTAGTCAATGATAATATTCAAGTGTTGGTTTGTAGGGATTTGATTGATTTCAGGATTTCATCATGAGCTGACATTAGTTAGAGAACCATTGGAAAACCTGGGAGTACTGGACAGCTGTTTCGTCCTAGTTTGGGACTCTTCGGCAGTACGCACCCGCCGGGATTCGAACCCAGGACCTTCCGGTTACAAGGCGAGCTCGTATACCATTAAGCCACTGGGACCCTTAATGGTATACGAGCTCGCCTTGTAACCGGAAGGTCCTGGGTTCGAATCCCGGTGGGTGCGTACTGCTGAAGAGTCCCAAACTAGGACGAAACAGCTGTCCAGTACTCCCAGCTGGTTTTCCAATGGTTCTCTAACTAATGTCAGCTCATGATGAAATCCTGGAATAATAATATTAATGTTTTTTTTAAATGATATTGATTTGTTAATTAAGATCACAATGGAATTACAGTTCATTAAAGATGCTTAAATTATAATGATAATAAAACTATAATAGCAAACAGAATATCAGCTAAAATTAAGAAAATTCCACAAAAATTAAGAATCATTCGAATCTAGATGGCCAAGGTAGGGACAATGTCTGAACTAGCTTCTTTTGGACGCACAAATTATGCTTTTTGAAGTGTATCCCAACGGCCAGCCTCAGTAATATTTAGTAGACGAACTCTTGAGGCGAAGTTAAGATTTCTCGGTATGCGGCAAATGACCTTGAAGGTAACCTCGTTGACATTAGTCTCGTTTCTGTATTCACAAGATGAGATAGAATAGAGCTATGAATAGATTTTGTTTGACCTTTACTTAACGACGCAGGGTGATATTCGGAAATTCGATGAGAAACACGCCTAAGTGGACGACCTATGTAAGTGGATCCCCACAGGAGCAGTTAAATTGGTAGGTACACATGGGAGAGGCGAAGTTAGGCAGTTTGTCTTTTACTCCCGAACGCAAACGAAGAGTGGTTTTGAAGATACAGCGAAATTCGGCAGCATGGAATGCTTTTTTTTACCGCATTCCTAAGGCGTTGTGTTAGTATATCGCTGATGTTATCCCCGGGGAACTGAATTTGTAAGAATAAGACCTTTTTATGAACTGCTGGTACTTTGAGTTACCTTGATTTTTGATTCATGTTCTTATCAATGAACTTTTCTGGATAACTGTTTACACTTAGCAACCCTTTAGTATTATTAAGTTCCTCGTCAGGACATTCCTCCGAGCAGATCGCTCTTGTTCTGTGAACCAAGCACTTTGATGGTATTAGATGGTTGGAGGCAATGGGCAAGAAGTCATAGACTTAGGTTTCGTGTTAGTTGGCACTCACCAGTCAGCAAGGCGTATCTGCAACCTTGAAGGAACTCATGTCCCTTCTGAGATTCAAACCCGCGTCACCCAGTGAGGCTGCAGTCAGAGACGTTACCACTGAGCTATTCGTGAACGCGATTAACCTCCTGTAGGACTGTAGTGGATATTTTGATTTGACACTAGTAACTAGTTCGAATCTCTGAAGGGACATGAGTTCCTTCAAGGCAGTTGCAGATACGCCTTGCTGACTGGTGAGTTCCAACTAGCACAAAACCTAAGTCAGGTTGGAGTTCCTGCCCATTGCCTCCAACCATCTAATACCATCAAACCAACGTGCACCGTGATGGCAAGCTAGCTAGAATGGTGGTCTCATTACAACCTGACTAATAGAATTCAGTCTACACCAATCAGAGGACTAGACGCATCACACTAGTTACTAGTGTCAATTTAAAACCAAGCACTTTATCAGATTGTGTTTGTATTTCAATGGTACTAAGCTGAAAAAAATGAGTATACTGACAGTTAGTTCATCTCTTCAAGTCAGTCCATTTCTTTGTCTATAAATCGTGTTGTTGAACTTGAATTAGACATTTAGAGTACACCTCAAAAGTAGTTCCTTTAAGTAGTGGATCGTCTACATTATTATCCTCAATGAATTTGCATATAAAACAGATAGTTTCAGTGAGGGGAACGTTGGTGAAAAAAAGCGAAGTAACATCCATAGATATCATTTTCTTCCCAGATACATTAACATCACTTATTGAATCGATGAATTCAAACGAATCAGAAGATGATGGAATAGCAATAGGGTCACCATTGGGTCCTTTACTTGCAGACTGCTTCTTGGCTAGTTTGGAGAACAGTATTTTACGGCATACTATCGACAGTTTCCATCTGTACCAAAGATACATGGAATCCTAATTTTTAATTTTACTTTTAATTTGCTTTTGCTTTAATAATTAAATTCACTATTATCAGTTTCATATGCTCCTTTTGTATGTTTTCACACCCTCTTCACACTTGTTAAATTGACACTCAAATACCACCTTTATTCTCACTCAAGAGCAATTTTAACCTTATCAAACTTCTATCTTTGTGCCGTTGAGTACCATGTAATTTACAACTTTTAATTTTCACCTCTAAAGCCACTTGTGATTAATTATATTAATTATGTCACCCCCACCCCTATTACTCAATAACAGACCACTATACATTTTTCTAAGTATAAATACGACTGTATAGCCTGTGACGGCAGATGATTTCGTCGATAAGGAATATTTTCTTCGCTGAATCTGTCTTTTATTCTCTTCATGACTCAATGGATATTTTCCGTGATTTCATCAATAACATTTTTCAAAGACCCATTTTCTAGTTTCGTAAGAAAAATGTTGGCTAGAATGAGTTCTAGTGGTGACCCCCATTGCCATACCATCGATTTATTTATAAAAGTTTCTTATTAAATAAAAAGTGAACATTCATTGTGCATTTCAAGAGCAGAGGAAATTATCGAAAAAGGATATTCTTCGTTGAATTTTTTGTTGTCAGGATCTAAAGATCAACAGAGATGAAGAAATTTATAAGGTTTCAGATAAATCACTACCACTGGTCATGTGCGTCAGTGAAACAGCGGTTAGGACGCTCGCCGACCATGCAAATGGTCTGGGGTTAAATCCCCAGCCACTGATGCACTCCTTTACTTCGCCAAGCCAGAAATAAAAAGCTGGTAAAGAGGAAAGGCGGGACATGAGGGTAGCAACCCCATCCTGTAAAAAATAAACACTGCTACAGAAACTTCAAGTCTCTAGCTTGAAGCCACCCTATGTTCCAACACTGGGAACGTGAAGCAACAAAAAAAAACTGGTCATATGTGTTACTGGAGGTGAACTAATCGGCGAGTTGAAGGACTTTATCTATAAGGAATAAAGCAGAAATAATGATGAAGTGCATTTCTACCCTAATAATGATACTCTATACAATTAATGTAAAGTTTTACTTACAATTCAGCGATCTTTGTAGTTTATTACGTAGTGAAGAAAGTTTTCCAGGTAGATATGTATTTGAAATAAAGTTCTTCAGTTGTTCACGTAACTGACATCTTTGACGATCATCATGACTAGCACCACTGAAAAATGAAGATTTTTGGAAAAAAAAAACTATCAGTCCATTTGAAAACTCATTTGGAATGGTTATCTAAAAAGTTCCTACACTTGGATGTTTGTTGAATGAGAATAAAAGCTGAGTAAATCTCTTGTCAACGCATCTGCAGTCTTAATGCCCTGGAAGGAGAACTGGATCTTCTGAAAGAAACTTACATACAAAATGGATATCCAATAAGATTCATTGATAAGAATATCAAAACCAAAAGTATAGACGGATGATATATTACTTGTTCCATAAAATGAACGTTACAAGAACTTGAATTTTAAAAGAGACCTAATCTGCGATATCCTCAGGAGAAGGACTTCAGTACCTTTGAGAGGGATTTTCTTCGCATCAATGATGTGAGTAGTGTTCTACAGTCGTCCATTGGTCTGCAGAAGCCTTATACACAAAATTGTACATCGGATCACTTCTATGTAAACATATGAGTTCAGCTGTTCCAGTGGAGCCAGGTACACTGGACGCGGATCCTATTCAGAAGGGTCCTGAATGGCTAGTGAAAAAAGTGCGACAATCGAACACCATGCCAACAGTGGTCATTACATCTCAACACACACCTCCTTCAAAGTAATCTACAAAATAAGGTATGACTTGTCAACGACAACACGCTTTTGTCTTCTTTATATTGCTGAAGCTTCAGCCAGTCAGTCAAAGAAACTGGAGGTATGCATACAAAAGAAAATTATTCAACTACTACTACCATGGCAATCACCTCGTTTTGCTTTCTACTAACTTGATGGCTCGTGTGGAGCCAGGTATGTCGGCCGTACCCAGCGTTCGCTTTCCAAGCGTATCACCGAACACTTACCAGCATGGTTTTACAAAGGAGAAAAACGATGTCCCCGCAGCTCCATCTTAGAACATCTGATAGAATCCGGACACCAAGCTGCACCCCAAACAAACTTCAAAGTAGTCTACAGAGTAAGAAGTAGTCTTCCAAAAGGTGTACGAATCAGACTTCTTCAAACTGCAGAAGCAATGGCGATTCCCTCGCTAAGCCCTGAACTCTGCATACAGAAGAAGTTCGTTCAATCACTACACTTACAATGGACTTAATCTACCTTATTACCTGAAAGGTAAATTCTACCTAATTTTTTCTTTTTTCTGTCTCTTCATTGGTATTATTCTGTCTTCTTAATTGTATTATTTTGCATTTTCAACTTTCTTGTTCTCTACCCCACCCGATTTAATTTCTACACCTCACAACCACTTTAATTGACCTGACCAACGCTCAATTTCTAGTCATTTAGGTTACGTCATCCAACTTAATTGCTCAATTTCATTTCTAATTTAAATGGCATTATTATCTACCCCACTTCTACTTAGTCTCTACCTGTAATTACCTCTGTTGCTACCCTGACCTAAGTTAAAACATTTTAGTCAATCGTATTACGTCATCTAACTTACTAACTCAATCTTACTTTAGTTGCTGTCCAATTAACCTTGTTTCTATATTAGATTATTCTTGTATTGCCTAATTAATTATCTAAACTTGACAAACCTCATGTACACACACAAATAATTATACATAAATGCGATTGTACAGCTATGTGAATGAATTCGCCGTCAAAAAGAGTCTCTTCGCTGAACGTTTTCCGTTTTTCGACCTAATCTTTGTTTTCCTTTGTTCTTCTAACTCCTAAGAACTCTTGCATAATTCCATATTTTTCTTCGTTTCTATGTGCATCCTGATCACAACTTATTCACTAAATTGTTCATCTAAATACGTAACTCTAATACCCTTATTTAACTCCTTTTATGTATTAACTAATATTAAGAAATGTGCTTGTGACCACTGATCACTTTTACTACTACCCTCTTTCATAAAAAAGAGCTTTTATATAAATGCAATTATACAGCTACTAAAGAGGCGAACAAAGAGCCTCTTTACTGAACTACGTGTTTTGTTTTCATTAACTTCTTTTTTTTTCTTTCACGTCCCCCAGTGGGCACCTTCAAGCTAGTGGCTTGAAGTTTCTGTGGTAGTGTTTATTTTACAGGATGGGGTTGACAACCTCATGCCCAACCTTTCCTCTTTACCAGCATTATTTCTGGCTTAGTGAGGTAAAGGAGTGCGTTGGCGGCCGGGGATCGAACCCCGGACCATGTGAATGGTCGGCGAGCGGTCTTACCCCTATGCCACCGACGCACTCATTAACTGCTAACTGGGGATTATTCATGAATAAAAAAACACTTAAGTAAAGCGGTTAAAAATCACTAGTTTAAAGATACTAGCCTTGATAGAACGGTTTGATCACAAAAACGATTTTGACTGCTTCCAGTGAAGACTTCATTACAAACTGACGTCAATTTAGGGTATCGGTCAAAATCAAAGAAAATCAAAGGAAAATCTCTTCATCTTCACTGTGGACTATTCAGCTGTCATCAATGCTATTTCCCAGGGTTGAAAGTTGAACACAGAGTTCCAACAGAATATATATGTCCAAACCAAGTTCACTTTTAACAGTTTGAAAAAATTTGGGCATTGAGTATATGATATTCATTATAATAAAGGTATTTTTTGTATTTCCCAATGAATGAAAAACAAAACGAGATTGTTTTTAATACAGAATGTCTTTGCTTTATCCTCTTTTCTGGAGTCGTTTTTAGCTGGTTGCACGATTATCGGTAAGCTTATATTTCCTCCCCCATATAATCTCTTCAAGTCACCTTCGAGCTAATGCCCAGATCATTGAATACATACGTCTTCCACTCAAAGGCTTGCGCTTGTCGCATAATATCATTGTACAATCTCCATCGAGTATGTAATATCCACTCCGTTCTCTTTCGGCGTATCTTCTAGACCATAGGACACTAGTTGGTTTGTTGTCAGAGATGTCTGCTACTTTATTTATTTTATTCTTTTACGTTCCCAGTGCTGGGAAATAGAGTAGCTTCAAGCTGCAAGCACTTGATGGTTTGTTTTCTCAGAGCGTGGCGATCCACCTTCATTTCTTCCTGCATATTTGTTGCACAATCAGTTCCTGCTGGATGGATTTGCTCATTGCCAGAACCCCCCTCCCTGTTGCTGATCTTTTCTGGCCACCTGATCTTGAGTATTGAGTGAAGACAGCTGTCGATGAAGGTGGGTAGTTTGTTCAAAATGGCCTTCGTAACGCGGCGCCAAGTTTTGATCCACCCGTATAGTAGCACTAACTTCACATTGGAGTTGAAAATCCGGATCTTATTTTCATTTTGATGCTGAGTAGTGCTGTTGATTTCCACACAGACTTGATAGTACTGAAAGCTTGACTTACTTTCCCGATGACCCTCGCTTCGATATCCTCATCAGTTCCGTCCACCTGTAGTTGAAACGATGTTTATCAGGTAGGTAAGTGGAGGAGGGTGCTTCTCTCAGATTTTTCCCATTCATGCTGGCTGATTGTTGTCTATTGTTGCTGCTGTTGCTGTTGCCCAGGAATCTTCAACACCTCTGTTTTCTCTATGTTCACCTGAATACCTTCCTATCTTTGATGCTTCTTTTGCCAATTTATTGCTTTTCACTTGCATATCTTCCAGTTTGCGGGAAATCAGATATATACCATCGGTGAAGTCCAGATCCTCCAAGTTTTTTGTGGGGGTCTATTTTATGCCTGTTTCCTCGCTACCTGCCACTGTCTGTCGCATATTATCCAGTCTAACGCAATCCGGAAAATCATTGGAGATAGCATGCAGCCAGTTTGTCTCACTCCCATCATGCATGGTTGGCAAGCATTTTATCGCTGTGCCACCGATACACTGGAGATTTTTGCTGCTCTTCTTATCTATTATGGTCGGCGATGTGATCTTTCGCATCAAGCCGAAAAGAAGCCAAGCAGTTATTGATGAAAGCCGGCAGTAGATTAGTCTGTTAGAAATTAATTTTATGAATTACCGATTCTCTGAACTATATGAAAGAAATAATCCCACAATAGTAAGGAAAGGTAGGATCTTCTTCCTTATTCTGAGTACAGCATATTGTCCGACTGATTTCAGAGTAATGAGCATCCACAAACTCATAAACTTTCTTCTTGCGTCTTTTTTCTTCAGTGACTTACCAGGGTCTCTATAAATGCTACTTAATAACAAACTACTTATATCTATTTGTAAGTACCTCATAATACACTTGGAATAACGTTTAAGTGTTTCATCTGTTTTATTACAATGAAAACAGTTTCAACTCAAGAGTAAACGGAAGAAACAACTTCGGAAATTGTAAATTAAGCTGCGATTCACAATTTACAAGGTTCAAGATGAACGTTCACAGCACATAGTAACATTCAGAAATCGAAATTATGCATGTCAAAATATGTGTAATCACATAATATTTTTATTTTTGATTTACAGCTTGATTCCACACCGTATTTTCGGTACAAGTATAGAATTTTCAGCACGGATATCGGTAGCCCAAATTTTTTTGTAGGACGACCATAGATATCAGGGGTGCGTCGGCAGGGGATCGAACCCCGGACCATGTGTATGGTCGGCGAGAGTCCTAACACTGTACCACCGACGCACACACTGGGTATCATAAGTCACAAGAAGTGGATGCATTTGCGACAGCCATTGAGAACGATTTTGAGCCCTAACACCGACTGTTTCCAGCCACTGGTTTTTACCATCCAAAAGACTCCAACCAGGAAATCTACACCTTTCTACGTGACTGACTTCAACTAATTGTTGTGGATTTCATTGACTGATGAAGCCATGTTTTGGTTGGGTCGCCACTAGCTAACTCTTTTCCAACCTGATTCTATGTCAGCTAACATTGCCCCTCATCACCTACAATTGATGCCTAACCTCAATATTGTTCACATTATTATACCATTTCACACGGGAAAAAGAACGCAGGCAGCTAATCTTTTCATGTCTTCCACTCTCAGTGGCCAGGTCTCACAGTTAGCCATACAGGAGGGCGGAGCGAACTGATGAGCAGTACACCCGCCCTTTGGTCGATAGTCGAATATCTCGTCTACGCCAGAGACGGCGTAGACTGGCAAATGCGAAACGAGCCCGCTGTATTCGTGTTGAGATTTCGTCAGCGATCAACCCGTTGGTGTTGGCTGATGCAACTTTCCAAATAAGTGAAGTGGTCAACCTGTTCTACCACTTCACTTGACTCGTATGACTCAGCTTCAACAACTGAATTCACGGTTGAACTGATTCAACCTTCCTGAGTCAAACCAGACACACAGCTGATGAACTCAGCCCCAAAACGAGCGAAACAATCATCAGGTGATTAGACCACTTCGATCTGGCTAGGAAGCATTATTATTTGAAGTGAATAGTGTTCAACTACTCATGCCAGTTAATCAGTAGTATATATCGCAGTGCATTTAAACAAAACAACAACGGAAATATTTCTTTTTTAAAAAAGGGATAAACTTACGCATGTAGAAATGCAGCAGAATGTAAATCTGATAATTCTGTATACTTAATCATTTCCCATTCCACAGCTTCAATAAATTCCATAACCATTTTATATACACTTAATATATTATCCCCAGATGGTCTACAGGCCAACGGATAAATCGGAGCGGCTTTATCAATAATATTTTGGCCAGATTTACTCTCTACACCCGGTAAGAAGGACTGGAAAAATTAAGGCAAAAGAAAAATCAATCAACAGAACAGACAAACAGAAGCTTTATAGTTATGAATAAGCAAGTTAGTAAAAGGAAAGCTCCTGGTTTTGCTGAAGCCTGTTTCACCTATCATCAAATTCAAGAAGCTGGATCTGGGCATACAAAAGTAGACAGTGTGGTGAGAGCTGTCTGTGAACAAGCCAAAATTGTAGACAACAATTTACGTCAATGTTTACGTCCTGAATCGGGGTCATGAGAAAAAAATACAATAACAAAGCTTAACTTTGAGGAACTCAACAAGCAATCACAGCAGAGTAAACGTGTGTACATATGTTTAATTCAATTTTAGATTTTCACATCGATTGATTAGACCGAAGTGCCCGGTCTCAGGTTGACATGCCGGCTTCTTGTGCAGATGCTTCGACAATGTCTGGGCATTTAATTAATTTGTGGATGGTGACTAGCAGTGGAATCCAGAACATTTGGTCCTATTTCGGACTGGTTCTCCAGCTGGATGTACCTGCATTTCCCAGTGAGTATTGATCTTCCCACCAAGGCTCGAACCCGGTGCCCATGGTTTCAAACGCCAAAGTGTTATCTACTAGACTACTTGTACCACGAGAGTCACCCCTTGTGCAACGGGTCATTTAATCCACTGCTAGTCACCATCCACAAATTAAATTCTAATTAAATGCCCAGACATTGTCGAAGTATCTTCACTAGAAGCCGATATGTCAACCTGAGACCAAGCACTTCAATCTAATCAATCGACAGGAAAGTCTAATATTCAGTTAAATAATTAATATGATCCGTTGCAAAAGAGGTGGCTTTCGTGGCCCAAGTGTTCTAGTGGATAACGCTAAGGCGTCTGAAGCTATGGGCACTGGGTTCGAGCCTCGGTGGGAACATCATCACTCACTGGGAAATGCAGGTACATCTAGCTGGAGAACGAGTCCCAAATAGGACGAAATGCGCCTTGTCCTGGATTCCACTGCTAGTCACCATCCCCAAACCAAGTGTGTAAATATGATTTGCAGATATATGGCTTAACTTTCTAAGAAACGGTCACAAGCAGTACAGAATAACCCATCAGCAAAGAAGACAACCCAAAAGAAGACGTTGCTTCCACCCCCCGAAAATAATGTACATAAAAATCTATAAATATCTGTTGATTTTCTCAATAAACCATCTGTTTCCCAACATTTGTCTTTTGTCGTTAAAACAGTAGTTACCTTGACTCTACCTTGGTGTTGCATACTTTTATTTCAGCTTAGCAATTTTTCTTCGGTGTCCCCTTCTCTTTTCAAAGTCTTTTCTATTGTTATTATTACTAGTTTATCTGAAATACTGTTAGTTTTCTTAGGAAATATGTGAAAATTAAAAAGTCATAGTTGAGTATGCATCTTAATGAGGAGTGTTCAAACTGTCTTGTCAGTTTACGTTAGGCATATTTAAATCTTATATATATCCAAACCAAGTTCACTTTTAACGGTTTGAAAAAATTTGGGCATTGGGTATATGATATTCATTATAATAGAGGTTTTTTGTATTTCCCAATGAATGAAAAAAAAAATCTCGTTTTGTTTTTCATTCATTGGGAAATACAAAAAAACCTCTATTAAAACGAGATTGTTTTTACTGACGTTTCGCTATTTAATGCTAATAGCTTTCTCAAAGTATTATTAAACCGGAATTTACAAAATCTCAGCATATATATAACAAAGAGTTAGGGGGTGAGAAAAATATAGACTTAGTTCAACTTAAAAGGACATATTGAAAGTCAAAATAACAATGAAGATCGTTCAAACCAAATATCAAAGGTAATAGTATATCTGTTATTATATCAAAATAAAGTTTACTAACTTGATCATCGTTCGTTAGTCTGGGGTCATTTTTGGTTGTCAAGTTCGAGAATAGGTAAAGGTAACCAAACAAGTGTAGGCTGTGAAATACTTGATCATCATTCGTCAGTCTGGGTCGTTTTTTGTTGTCAAGTTAGCGAACTGGTAAAGATAGTAAAACCAAGTGTAGATTGTTGGATTTTGTCAGTGTGTAGAATTATGAAAGTAGTGTGCGTTTACATAGTGAACTTGCTCACCACATTTGCGTTGATTTTGCTACTTCATGGGGGAGGGTGTTGTAGCCAGGTTAGATTCTGTTTTAGTCCATCATTCCTATTCAGGCAATTTGGATTCCACTTGATATGAAGTGCTTCTGATATTAGACGTTCTTTGTGGTTTCTGAAGTTTTTCTGGATTATTTCAATATTGTCAAAATCAATTTTGTGGCCTGATTCTATAGCATGTAGACCTATGGCTGATGATTTTTGAAGTTTTTCCAGTTCAACTGGATTTCTTGGTGGTCGAAGAGAAGCTCTACGGTGTTCATTTCTTCTGATTTTGATTTCTCGAGATGTTTGTCCGATGTAGATCGCATCACATTCCGAGCATTTTATTTTATAGACACAATTAGATAGAGAATCTTTCGGGATTTGGTCTTTTATATGGACAAGGTTGTTTTGAAGTGTGTCCGATGTTTTGAAGAAAACTCTAATGTCGAGCTGATTAAGTACTCTTCTGATATCGTCTGACGTCTCTGCTCTATATGGAATGACGACTGTTGAAGTCCATGTTTTCGGAATGCATTTTCGGCCATACTTAATGTCTGTGTTGATTTTGTTGATGAAGTTCGTTGGGTAGTTGTTTTGCTTGAGAGTTTCAGTGATGTTTGAAATTTCTTCTTCTTTTTCTTGCTCATCTGTTATCAGGGAGTGTGCTCGTCTAAGAAGACTTGAAACAACTGAAATCTTTGCGCTGATGGGGTGTGATGATTTGAAGTCTAAATATTTGTTGGAGTGGGTTTTCTTCCTGAATATGGATATACTAAAATGTCCGTTTTCCTTTCTCTTAACTAGGCAGTCTAGAAATGGAAGTTCACCGATGTCTGATTCTGCTTCCGAAGTGAACTGGATTTTGGGAGATACACAGTTTATTTTCTCCAGGAATGAATTGTGTAGATCTCGTTTTAGTACTACAAAAGTATCATCCACATATCTTAACCATATTTTAGGAGTGAGTATGCTTGAAAAGATATTATTTTCGAATTTATTCATGTAAAGATCGGCGACTATTGGGGAGACTGGTGAACCCATAGCAACACCATTTGTCTGTCTATATAAACTCCCTTTAAATGTAAAATAATTACTTTCCAGACAGAATTTTAAGCTCTTAATTATTTCACTGGTGTCCAGTGGACATCTTTGTGATAGCGTTGTATCTGATTCTAGTAGACTGGAAATGATGTCAAGACTTTCGGTAATAGGGATGCTAGTATATAGTGAGTTAATATCATAGCTTACCATAATGTCTTCTTTATCAATTTCTCGGTGTTCTATTTGGGATTTGAAATCATATGAATTTTTTACAATATTTTGAGTGTCCTTTTGTAGTGGTTGTAGTATCGAGAGTAAGTATTTAGAAAGGTTGTATGTTGGTGAGTTGGTGAAATCTATCACTGGTCTTAGTGGAACTGTGGGTTTATGTATCTTTGGTTGACCGTAGAATCTTGAAGGTATATAAGATTTTGGTTTTAGTGTAAACCAGAGCGAATTTCCAATTTTGGGTTTCATTTCTTGAAGTAGTCTGTTTGTATTTAGTTTCATTTTGTTGAATTCGGCGGATTTCTTCTTCTCTTGTTATTTAGTCCTATATGAGTTTTTTTTTCATTCTTTTACGTTCTCAGTGGAACATGGGTGGGGGGAGGGCTTAAAGCTATAGGCTTGAAGTTACGGTAGCAGGGTGGAGTTGCTAGCCTCATGCCCACCCAACCTTCCCTTTTTACCAGTCTTATTCCTGGCTTAGCGGGCGAGATAAAAGAGTGCATCGGTGGTTGGAGATCGAACCCCGGATCACATGCATGGTCGGCGAGGATTCTACCTCTGTGACACCAAAGTCACTCTGTATGGTTTAAAAAATGTTAAATTTATTTATTTGTTTTTTTTTAAACGAAGTTTCCTTGTAGTATTCCAGTACTGTTATCACATCTAGATGTTTATAATTTGTATATAGACTGAGATGGCTAGGTCGCGTTCTGTGCATGCCTAACCATCGCCTCCCCCCACCCGCCGACGGGCATTACTAGCTAGCTGATATAGGCGGAGGTTGGAAAAGAGTAAGTGGTGGCCAAACAAAAACATGGCCTCATCAATCCATGAAATCCTTGACAGTTAAACTCAGTCAGGTAGGTAGGGAGATGCAGACTTCCGGGTTGGGGCCCTCGGGACTGACTCTAGGAATCAATGGCTGGAGACAATAGGTGACATGGCTCAAAATCGTTGTCAATGGCCAGCGCAGATGTATTCAATCTCTGTAATCTTTCATATTCCTTTCTACCATTACCCATTCTGTTTCAATCTTATACCTTTCAAACTCTATTGATTCTCTTCACTCATCTTCTTGTCTACCTCTGTGTGCTATTTGGAACGTGGCAACTCGAACTGGTTCACTGCGGTGCCAAGTTCTATGTTGAATCCAGACAGAAAGACAGAATAATTTGTATTAAATCTACCACAATTCCAGTTTAACTGGAATTCCTAGTAACATGTACTTTGATGAATAGCATTCAGGAGTGATCATGGGCTGACAATAATTAGAGAACCATTGGAGTACGAGGACTGGACAGTTGTTTCGTCCTAGTCTGAGACTCTACAGCAACACATAGCCACTGGGGTTCGAACCTACCTACCACTTTCCGGTTACAAGGCGAGGTCGTAGACCATCCAGCCATTGAGAGCGGGATGAATATTGATCTGATGCTCACTAGCTACTGATTCTATTCAGGTAGGTAGTTACGTCGGTTCTAGTGGGAAGTTGTGACCAGTGGGCTACACAAGGTCAGGTCCGCGCCATGTTGTAAATTTGCAGAAGTTGGAATTCATGCATCGGTCATTGAATCAGGTCCCAGTGGCTTTGAACCCGAAGGTGATGGGTTCAAACCCTAGTGGAGGCATATCGCTGATAAGTTCAAAACTCGGACAAAACAACTATCCAGTAATCCAATGTTGGTTTTCCGATAGTTCTCCACAACCTGATATCAGCTCATGATAAAAATCTTGTAACCAGTCAAATCCCTGCAAACCAACATCTAAGGACAACAAACATTCTATATGAGAATAGAGTTCTTAACACTAGGCTATAGTGTTTTGTCACGTACATCGATGGTTCAACGATAGAATACTCACCAACGACGTATGTCGCCAAGAATCAATCCCACACCGACGCACGACTACTGAACTTCACCTAGTCTACCAGCCGGTACACAAAAACCTAGGGAAAGAGCAGAAAAAAGGTGTGAGGCTAACAACTCCCACCCTCTCTCCCTCACCTCATAGAAACAAAACCATCGCTACTGAAATTACAAAGCTTAAAAACTTGCAGTCCTACATTCCACTTAGTACACAACAAATTCAAAGAAATAACAAAACAGAGTACAATAAAGTGGAGTACAGCATCGTAACATGACAACAACAATAAATCTATCTATCTATCTATCTATGCATGTATAGTTAAATATTCATACACAATTAATCAATAAACCCAGAGAAATGGATCATCATCTATGAGAGAATTTCATTTTCATGCAATGCAACGTAAAAATAAAATATTCATGTGAGCTGAATAGAAAAAAACTATGCGGAGAAAAAATATATTGATTTAATTGAAATTGATTAAGACTGTAGTAACTCAATCAGACAAAATTGAAAAGTACAAATCTAAGAAAAAAACTGACAGTATTCATCATTCCTTTTTAAAGACAGTCAGTTGAACATTTCTCTTCCATTCTCTTCAGAATTCTTACACTGAGTCATTCAAAATTATTCTAACTTATGAGTGACAATACTACTCATTTCGTATTGTCAGTAGTAAGGATAAGCGACAAGGTATTCTGACAGGCAGTGAACTAACCAACCAATCACTAAATGACTGACTAAGTGACTAGTTTCAGATATAATGGAGAAGATTTGTAGCTCCGATGGTTGGATTTAAGTTTAGTTATGCTGTCTGAGCTGGATGGTTTACTTGTGAAGCTTTCATGGCCCCCTTACTAGGCAACATCTTCAGCGCATACTTCAAATTGAATGGAAGTGAGCTTTTAGATTCCTCCATGAGTGTATTGGCCAAAGTGGACGTCACCTTCGTCTTCGTAACCATGATCATAAACTAGCCGTTAAAAGATATGACATCCACTCCCTCGCTCATATTGCTGCATACAGACAACCACGGACATCATAACTCGATTGGGACAACGTTCAACAACAAGAATGCTAGAGAATGGTTTTAGAAGCCTAATATTCCAGTGAAATGTCGATCAACAGACACACATTGAGATAGACAAAATTTGCCAACCGATAAGAAGGAAATCTCACACACAAAGGGGTAAAGTCCAATTAAAGGAAACAATCAGTACCGACGCCAATATGAGTAGCCTAGAGGGTGTGAAAACACACAAAAAAACCACTCATGTTGAAGGTCAGGTCACCAGGAGAGATGACTAATAAACTCGTAGAGAAATCTAAAAGCTCACTTCAACAAATTGAAGCATGCACTGAAGATGTTGCCTAGTAAGGGGGGGGGCAATGAAAGCTTCGCAAATAAACCATCCAGCCAGGTCAGAGAACATAACTACATCAAAATGACTCGCTTCAATATAGAATTTTGCAGAGTAGTGTAACAAACTTCAAGTTGTCACACTCCAACCACTACCAACAACAATCAACAACTTATTATCCAACATATATGCAGAGATGGATTGGACATACTCTGAAACGACCATCAAATAACATAACACAGCGGATTGTCAGAACTGCACAAGTTGGGTGTGACTCCAAGGAAATTACAGCTTGTAGACAATTGTAGAGTTAGTCAGTTAAAATTGAAAAATTGGCAGAGGACCAAGTAGACAATAGAGGTGCCCTTCTGAATTCTTAATGTTCCCCTCGGAATACAAGTCAGCAAGGCGTATATGCAGCAGTCTTGAAGAAACGCATATCTCTCTTTGAGATTCAAACGCATTTCACCACCACCCAGTACTGTAGTCAGAGATGTTTACCACTGAGCTATTCAGGCTCACGACTTATCTCCTGTAGAAATGTATTGGACACTTTGACTGGACATTACTTAGTAACTAGTATTATGAGTCTCCCGACCGATAGCTGCTACCTTGACGTGGTGGTCGGGCTTGCACATCGCAATGGCTCAGCAAGCTGCACTGGCTGTAACCAATGTTCCTGCAGGTCCTACCATGCCAGGAAGGTTGTTAGGATATCGGTAAGACTAAAAGCAGTTACCGGTTTAGTGTAAGAATCTTTCTTACACTATGCTGGGGGTCTGAGGGCGAAGTCGTACTGCTGGGGAACAGGGATGTAATAGCAGTAAGGTGTTTCCTTCAGATGACCAGCATGCCAGCCAGCTATGCTGTCTCTCCACTCTGGAGAGAGGGGGTTAGAAAAGATTGACCCCAAAAATTGTACATCCCGACTTACCCTACGGTGGTCCGTAACTGGCGGTAAGTTTACTAATACGGAACCAAACCAAGAAACTAGTTCACACAGGCCGTATGTGACCGGCTTCAAGCAGTTGTCCCCTGGGATCTTCGATCACGCAACACTAACCCTCTTTTTGTTTCAGGTATCCGACGAATCAATCAACTTCCACGGTGTGGGCAGCCGGGAAGTAACAACCGTCCACACACTTCCCAAAGCACTTCCAGACAGTATTATGAGTCTGGTCTTTTATTTTGGTGTAGACTGAATTCTATTGGTAAAATTACTAATTACTATGTATAACAAGTGTCCAATGAAAATTATGATGAAGATAATACCCGTTTCACTGACATCCACTATAAGAAGTCATCGGTGTGTAAAAGAAACGAAGTTAAGTAACAAATATCATAATTGGTTGGAGGATTTCATCATGAGCTGACATCCTGTTAGACAGCCATTAGAAAACTTTCAGGGAGTACTGTACAGTTGTTTCGCCCGCCTAGCCTGGGAATCTTCATCAGTACGCACCCACCAGCAGGAGGTGAACTCCAGGGCCTTCTGATTATAAGGCTAGTGTGAGCTAGCTCGTAGACCATTCATCCAGCCATTGGGACCCATGAATTCTAACTTCTGCCAATTCACGACATATCGCGACCATTTCACAATGTCTTCTTCGATGAGTTACTGCCTCACCTTCAACTTGTTGTACCCTACTGGTCACGGCTTCCTATTAGAACTCCAGATAACTGGCTGTGAATAAAGCCAGTCGATAGTGAGCATCAGTAGGAAGCCGTGACCATTAGGGTACAGCAAGTTGAAGGTGAGGCAGTAACTCATCGAAGAAGACATTGTCAAGTGGTGGCGCTACGTCATCAATTGACAGAAGTTAGAATTCATGGGTTGGCCATTGGCTGGATGAATGGTCTATGAGCTAGCTCACTAGCCTTATAACCAGAAGGCCCTGGAGTTCACCTTCTGTTATTGGGTGTGTGCTGGTGAAGAATCTCAAACTAGGACGAAGCTATTGTCCAGTACTCCCTACAAGTTTTCCAATGATCCTCTAACAGGATGTCAGCTCATGATGAAGTCCTTCAACCAACCAAAGAGAATCTCAAGAACGAAATATCAATTCCCCAGATACATATATTTTGGACTATAATCTATTAACAATTCTTATCTAAATGATTCGATGTCAACTAATGTTATCAATAACAATCATTCTTTCATTATTATGAAAGAATATTTAACTGTAGAACCTGATGAAGAAGAAGAGGTTATCGAAATGAATATTCCTTCTTTGTTCAATAATCAATCTTTTTTGAAATTTCAAATGGACATTTTTAATCAATTATGATATTTTCAACTGTTGGTTTTGTAGAGATTATGTTTGGTTAGTTGAAGGACTTCATCATGAGCTGACATCACAGCTAGAGAACCATTGGAAAACCATCTGGGAGTACTGTACAGCTGTTTCGTCTGCCTAGTCTGAGACTCTTCATCAGTACGCACCCACTGATGCTCACTAACGACTGGGCCTATTCAGGCAGCTACCTGAAGTTCTAATGGGAAGCCGTGACCAGTAAGGGTAAAGCAGGCTGAAGGTGAGGCAGTAAGTCATGCAAGAGGACATTACCCCGCTAAGGCAGTAATAAGACTGGTAAAAAGAGGGAACGGTTGGACGTCAGGCTAGCAACCCCATTCGGTAAAACAGAACACCACTGCCACCCTATGTTCCACAGGGGATGGAAATGAATAAAAAATAATTTTTAAAAAAAAACAACTAGTAATTTAACTTACCATAGCACGATTCTCTGACACGTAATTAGATATGCCAAGATAGTGTGATGCATTTGAAAAACTGAATAAAGTGACACTATTTTGAATTTGATTAGCGTTAGCAGCACCACCACCAATTGAACTACCGCCGCCTTGACCACCACCGCCAATAGCAGTACCACTTGACGACGTATTACCGCCACTTCCTCCGGTGATATTTGATTGTGGATCTTTTGGATTTGTATTCGCAGTAGTATTACCCGAATTACTAGAAGTAGGATTACCTGATGTACTTGTACTTGTGATTGAAGCAAAATTAAATGCACCCATTCGTTTACGACCCATTAGGGTGTTTAAATCGACCTTGGTTGGATCTATTGGTAGATTTTGACTATCAGTACCTGGTGACATCATAATCATATCATTATTCGTCGTATTACGTGAGGATTGTAATTTCAATAGACCAGTTTTAGTCGAAGCAAGTGCTGCTTCATTTAATTCAGCTGGTGATATATTTCCCAAATGTGTCAGTAGTATACAATAAACCTAGAAAAATATTTAAAAGAAAGTATGTCTATTAGTGTTAAAAAACAATATGGCATATACTACTGAAAAGGCTTATCAGTAGTAGTATATGGAGGGAAATTTATTATTATTATTATTATTGTTTCCTTCACTTCCTAGAGGAACATACGGCTTCAGCCGAACGTCTTCATTGAGTTCGGTTCTCTGCCAACGTTTCCGCCTGGCTCCACGTTTGCCCATACGCTTTCATCTCCTCTTTGCACAAATCCGCTGCATGTCACCCCACCCTCACACTGACGACCAACTCGCTGATTCCCTTTCGGGTTCACCTCGAGCCATGGCCTGGCGTGTGATGTCACTCACTGAATGGTTTGTTTTCTCAGAGTATGGCCAATCCACCTTCATATCTTTCTGCATATTTTTTGCACAATTGGTTCCTCCTTGGTTGGTTCGCTCATTGCCAGAGATCCTTGTTGCTCATCTTTTCTAGCCGCCCATCTCATCTTGAGTATTGAACGAAGACAGATGTTGACGAAGCTCTGTTGTTTGTTCAAACTGCCCTTTGTGATGTTACGCCAAGTCTCTGATTCGTATAGTGAGTAGCACTGACTTCACATTGGAATTGAAAACAAAGATCTTATTTTCATTTTCATACTGAGTGCTGTTGACCTCCACACAGACTTGAGAGCAATGAAAGCTTGTCCTGCTTTCACGATCCTCGCTTTGATATCCTCATCAGTTCCATCCGCCTGTAGTTGAAACGATGCTTCCGAGGTAGGTAGACAGGTATATGAAGGAGGTTACTTCTTTCAGATCTATCTCATTTATGCTGGCTGATAGTTGTCTGTTGTTGCTGTTGGGCAGAAATCTTCATCCCCTCTGTTTTCTCTATGTTCACCTGAGGGCCTCACTTTGTAGAGAGACATTCATCACTATACAAAAATATCAAATGACCGAGAGAGGGAGAGAGAGAGCATATGAACCAGTAGTCAGTATTGCGGCGAAACATGGGAGACACGAAATAAAAAGACAAAGAAATACAGTACTCAGGATAGAATTGGCACAACACGGAAGATCTGTGCAAACGAGGATATTAATAATATGGTGTAAATGAGAACGTCAACCCATTTCTGCCTATTTTCTCTTTTGATGGTATAAACGGGACCATGTCTCTCGGTGATAGTGTATGGCCATTCCCACTTCGGAAGGAGTTTCCGTGAACCTAACCCATATACCTAACTGTGTACTTTCTTTCTCTACACTTTACTTGATCGCCGACTTCATAAAAATTATGCATCCCATCTTTTCCCTCTGTTCAGATTTTGCAGCGTCTTTCTGATGTTTATGCTATACATTCCTAATGGGTTCTTTCCGTCCTGTTCTGAGCCTCGTCTCATATTCCACTCTTCGTGGAAGGGCCAGATTGTGCTGTGGTATTGGTAGTCCTCCTACACAGTAACTTAATTGATGACTTTTTTGTTGTTTCTCCGGTGGAAGCACGATGTGCTAGCAGAATCAGTCACCTCCTTTCGAGGTCAGCCACTCCTTCAGTGTACGGTTATTTCTCTCTGTCAAACCATTTGCGGATGATATAGTATTGTTCTAATCTTCTTAATCCCCACCTGGTGCAAAAGCGGAACCCTGATCTGTCAATATCGTCTTTAGTACGCTGTGGTCTGCAACGATGTGTCAAACTAGTGAGTCAGTCACTGTTCTCGCGTGTTGACCAGAGATCGCGAAGGTGTCTATCCATCATCACCAGAAGGTACTGATGTCTGCGGAAACGGACACCTGGATGAATAATGGGTATATAGCACATAGTACGATTTCTCTATAGACCATGTGTGTATTGACTGAGAGACATTCTTACAACACATAAACTACAATTATATAGTGTAATATCAAGTTTGCAAATACTTTTTAGTGTATTTTTCAACGATTGTGAGACTTTTCATGCATCTGAATTCTGATTGGTAGTTGTTCAAGGTCATTGTGATGAAACTTTAACTGCACCAATGATAATTAGTACAAAATTAGTAATTAAGGATACGACTTACTTCATGCTGTACACAAGACCAAATATATTTACACGTCAAACCTTCTAATTCTGTTGACGCTTTAAATTGTTTCTGGGAGAATAGGAAAAGAAAAAAAAGAAAAAAACGTATATGCAACAGAAAGTTTATGATTATTCGTCCCATGGAAAACAAAGAGCTGTTTCAGACTATTCTATGACGTCATTTTTTAACCAGCTCTATGACTTCACCTCCACCGTCTCCTCCTTCTCCTCATACGATTACCTGTATATCACTTTCGGATGCACAACTCATCATCAGCTTCCCCGATTTGGATTCCACTAGAGAGATGACCTGCAGAGTAATGTCATTCAGCGGTCTCCTCAGTGTATCCGTTATCCATCTTTATATTTGTTGGGCAATAGGTTTTTGGTTGGTTCGTTTATCATTTCTAGCTGGTTGGTTAACTGACCTTCAGTAGCCAGTAGACATCAAATATGTAAATATCTATGATCACAAGTCTCAAATCTGTCCCACAAGTCACAAGATGTTACACAAGAAAAAAACAAAGAGAGTGTAAGACATGAAAAGCCTGGTTAGCTGTCTTTCATCATAGGAACCTGCGTTCTATCTCCCGTGTGAAGTGGTAGAATAGGGTGAGCAATATTGAGGTTAGGCTACCGTCGAGCTCTAGGAAAGGGGAGCAAATCAGTCGACGAGAATGTGAAGCTACGTCGACTGAGATGGTTGGGACATGTGTTACGTATGCCTGTCCGTATTCGACATAGAACTTTGCATATATGTGCGGCAGTTCAAGTCGCCACACTCCAGATAGCACACAAAGCAAGAGAAGAAAGTAGAAGAAATGCATACTAGAGACAGTTATTTAGTTATTTATTTAAACGCATAAAAACTTGGTACAATATTGCACCAAGAAAGATGCGCCACACAATAATAATAAAACAACATAGATCAAAAGAAAGAAAAGAAAGAAGAGAAAAAAAATACATATATAAGTAGAGAACGGATTAAGAACTTCATCTGGAAGGAAAACAGTCATGCTTAACAAGTTCAAACAGTATTCGTTAACTATCATCGGGAAAGAAGGAAATTGCAACACGTGTAATAGCATGCGATAAGTTTCATTGATTGTTTGTTGCTTTATTCAGTTTATTGTCTGAGGGCTGAGATACTGCCGGGGAGCCCGAACCGAAGCAGGTGGTTTTATTAAGGGACCACCCCACCCGAGCCTTTGACTTGGAGTCTAATCCGCAAGGCAGCGGAGCAGCTTCAGGAGCTGCATTTCCATGGTTTCCGGTGACCCATATGGGTTCATACGCCATTTGATTTGATTGGATACTGGAGCCCATATATCCCATGGTAACTGCTTTTAGTTTAACCGCTATCCAAACAACCTTCCTGACATGATGGGACCTGCAGGGATAGAGTCCCAGTCAGTTTAGCCTATTGGGTCATTACGGTATTCAATCCCGACCACCATGACAAGGTAGCAGTTATCGGCCGGGACATGTATTTACGACATGTATTACGAATGTCTGCCTTGAAGCTCCCATAACGCTGCGCTGTTCTTTAGCCTTGGGACTGCATGTAAAAAGCGGAGAATACTTGTGTTACGATTCCCTAAGTAGAGGTCCGAGAGAAAATTCTAATAGGTGGTTCAAGACATTACCAGGTATGAACAAGAATCAGAATCAATGAAGACTACACTGTGATTCCCTTCTTTCTTTCCATTCCGAAAATAACGTGAAGTGATGAACTATCTTCTGACTTATCTTCATAAGTGTGCCTACTTGCTTTCTGCATGGTATTGAAATACAAGCAAAGAAGTAGGACGGTAGGCGCGTGTAAAACCATGGGTGAATAAGAGACTGAATGACCCTTTCCTGTACACACAAATTTCCAGGTTGTATTAACGAATCGTTAACGTCTCTATCATACACTCGTGAGTATTATCCGGTTTTACTTTGTAAGTTTCTTAAATACACACTCACACTGTATTTCCATGCTTCTGTTTATTAATAATATTTATGATAATGGGTTAGTTTAATACTATTATTATTATATGGTTGGAGGCTTGACTAATAGAATTCAGTCTGCACCGAAAATAGGACTAGACACATTACACTAGTTACTGACTAGTGTCCAATCAAAATTATTATTGTTATTAGATTAGGTGATTTTAAGCCTCAAATAATAATAATTATTATTGTTCCCTTGGGTTCCTAGTGGAACATAGGGCTTCAACTGTACGTCTCGACTTGCTTTTGTCTTTTGCTGTGCTTTTCACCTACATCCATGTTGGTCCATAATGTTTCCACCCCCCTTCACACGATCTCCTTCATGTCACCCTTGCACTGACGTCCCACTCGCCGCTTTCCTTTCAGGTTCCACTCGAGCAATGGCCTGACGCGCGGTGTCACCCAGCGGCCTCCTCAGTGAGTGTCCAATCCATCTCCACTTTCTCCTATATATTTGTTGGTTGGCGATTGCTTCTTGTTTTGTTTGTTTCTATAGTTTCTTGCTGGTGATTCTTTCCGGCCCGGCCATCTGATGTTCAGTATAGATCCAGCGAAGACAGTTGTTGATAAATGTCTGAAACAGGCTTTTGGAAATATTCTTTGTGACCCGCCAAGTTTCTGATCCGTATAGAAGAACTGACTGACTTGATGTTTGTATTGAAAATCCGACCGAATTTCGTTGTTGATGCTGAGTGACGAAGATTTCAAGATTGGTTACTAGATTACTAGTTCGCTAGTTTTCTAGCCTTTCCCAAGCCCGGATAAAAAGGGAGGGTTGTGGCGTGATGCTAGCAACTCCTCTCCCAAAAAAAAAACTTAACCAAATCGCTACAGAAACTTCAATGCACAAATATATTAAAAATTCTAAAAATATAAACAATAACCTTATTTTTCGCTGGAATCGGGGAAGTGAAATGACGCAGGCTGGTGAAAACCTTCGGGAAGCCAGTCAGCCGATGTGCCTTCTTTCGATGAAAGCTTCAAACAGTGATGATATTTATTTGATTATTTGATAATATGAATCATTCCATCAGCAATAATTGCTATCATCGAAGTAATTATCATTATAATTTGCTATTATTCCCTTGGTTTCCGAATGGAACATAGGGCTTCAAGAACGCGTCTTCATTTTCAAATATTTGATTTCGTAGGGATTTTCGTTTGATTGGTTAGAGGTTTTTATCATAAGCTGACATCAGTTAGAGATCGATTGGAAAACCTGAGTGGGGGCGTACTGCTGAAGAGTCCCCTAGACTAGGCTGACGAAACGGATGTCCAGTACTCCCAGATTTTTTATTGGTTCTCTAACTGATAACATCTCATGATGACATCTTCACTTTGTTATATTTTCTGCTGTCCGCTTCACTGGGGTCCACGATTACCCATAATCTCTCATCTCAGGCTTGCACGATCTCCTCTATGTCACACTCAGACGACAGACTCGTTGCTTCCCATTGGGATTCCATTCGACAGCCTTCAAAACGTGTGACCAATTCATCTCCATTTTCTTCTGCATATTTGTTAAGTAAAAAGTTCTTGGTTGGTTGGTTGGTTGGCTCCTAGAGTTTCTTGTTGCTTATTGTTTTCAGAAGCCATTTGATCTTCTTCAATATGAAGAGTTAGCGAAGGCAGCTGTTTATAAAAATCTGAATTAGGCTATTCGAAATGCTTACTGTGGCGCTCGCGCCAAGTTTCTGACCCATATAGAAGATCATAAGGGATCACGAAAGATGAACTCATCCACGCCGTTGAGAGCGATTTTGGGCAGTATGACTAGTTGTCTCCAGCTACTGGTTCTTAGCATTCCAAGGACATCACATCAACCAGGCCCAAACCAACTGCTTAAGCTTTTATGGACTGATTCCAGGTTTTCGTTTGATCACCACTAGCTAACTCATTTCCAGCCTGGTCGTTCCCATGTCAGTTAACATTGACCGTCGAGGAAGGCGACCGATGGCTAGGCAGGCATGCGGAATACATGTCCTAATCATCTGAATAGATGCAACCTGCTTCACAACTACATCGACTGATTTCCCCTCATCACCTAGCATTCAACAGAAGGCTGACCTCAATATTGCTCACCTTATTATACCAGTTCACACGGAAGATAGAACGCAGGTACCTATGATGAAAAACAGATAGCCAGGCTTTTCAAGTCTTTCACTTTAAATGACCATGTCTCACTTACAGCTATACGGTAGAATAGAGGGAGCACCTCTTTCGACTGATAGTCGGATTATAACAATTTTGAGTCATATCACTTCCGGTCTCTCCAACCATTGGATCTAAACTAATAGGTTATAAGTCTCACATCACATGTGTGGTTACTACTTATATATAATAATAATACTACTACTAATAATAATTAATGGAGGATAAATCAATAAGGGGGGAGTATGCTTACCTGTTTAGCTGTATTCAACGCACGTAATACAAGAAGACACGCTCTAGCTTGCATAAACAATGCATCAAATACTAATTCTAACAGCTTGATAAGATATCTAGTAGAATTCATATCCGATAATGGCATACTGTCATTTTGAGCAATTGCTCTGTAAAACAATAATAATAATAATGATAAATAACGAAAGTAGGCATCATTCAATGAAAGAAGGTATATAAAAATAATTAAGTCAACATTGAATCATTTGTTTATTTGAACTGGCTTCTCATTTGGCGGGAGATAAGAAGGCTATCGTTGCATAACTGAATAATGGAGACTGACTGGTTACAATATAGAACAGATGTGGTTGACACAGAGGCAGCTGAGTGAAGTGATTTTGTTGGTTTGTGCGCGACATCAATTCCTAAAGGTTTGAAGAGTTTTGGAGTGATTTCTGAGATGTAGTCCTTCATATATATTGTATGACGATCTTTTCTATGCTTTCCTTGGGGGCTTTGATTTGGTAGGTTGGCTTGGGGATAGATGACTTTTGATGAAGTTCTGTGGATATCCATTCTTTTGGAAGACGCTGTCTAATAGGACACATGAAAGCTTCGAAAATAAACCATCCATCTCAAAGAACACAACTGAGTTAATACATTAACTCTTCGCTGAACGGCTTTTCATGGAAGTCTTCTAAAAGAATGGATATCCACGCAGACAAAGGGGACGTCCACTTTAGCCAATGTAGTGTTTTTCGCAGTCATTACAATTAATTTTGTAGATGATGTCGGTTTTATCTTCTTTCACAGTTGAGTCTTTTGGTTGACACAGAACTGAGTGAAGGAGTTGTATACAAACACTAAACAAGAGGGCCACGATTCACTACTACACTGCCACCTTAAGGAAAATTGAAGCGGAAAAAATATCTCATGCAGACGTGTCTGTCTTCCTAAAAGAAAGGATATCCATGGAATTTCACCAAAAGACATCTAGCCTCAAGCCAATCTGCTCAATTAAAGACCCCCCAAGGAAAGCAAAAAGAAAATCGCCCAACCATGTATAAAAGACATCTCAGAAATCACTGCAAGACTCTTCAAACTTTTAGGAATTGATGTCTCACACAAACCAACAAAATCACTTCGCTCAGCTGGCTCTGTGTCAACCAAAAGACTCAACATCGAAGGGAGATAAAACCAACATCGTCCACAAAATAAATTGTAACAACTGCGAAAAACACTACATTGGCCAAAGTGGACGCCCTTACCCTTCGTCTTCGTATCCATGAACATAAGCTAGCTGTCAAAAGACATGACATGCACTCCCTCATATCGCTGCATACAGACAACCACGGACATCGATTCGACTGCGACAACCAACTTTCAAATATTAGACAGACGGAATACCAAGAATGCTAGAGAATGGTTTTAGAAGCCTGGTATTCCAGTTGATCGTCAATCAATAGACACATCGAGATAGACAAAATTTACCGAGAAGAAGGAAACCTCACACAAAAAGGGTTAAAGTTCAAGTCAAAGAAACAATCAGCACCAATGCCAATACAAGTAGCCTAGAGGGTGTGAAAACAAACAAAAACAACCAATCACATACAAGGTCAGCGGGAGAGATGACTAATAAACTCGTGGAGAAATCTAGAAACTCACTTAAACAAATTGAAGTATGCGTTGAAGATGTTGCCTGGTAGCGCGCAATGAAAGCTTTGCATATAAACCATCCAGCTCATAGAATACAATTACATCAAAATTATCCACCTGAGCCACAAATATCCGTTATATCTAAAGTTCTACGTTGAAACCAGTCAGTCATTGAAGTCAATAGTTCACATCAAATGAAGTGAAATACTGAAATATTTGTCGCACCTTTCAAAACACCATTCATCATAATGCACAAAAACAGCCGTGGTTGACTTACATTAATTAAATCGGCTTTTGAAAACCATATTACCACTCCACGTGAATTGACCAAGTTGACCAAGCTACAAAACATCCTAGTGAAATATATACATGCGTTGGGCTTAAAAGTGCAAACTACTCCATCGATAGCTGCCACCTTGACTTAGTGGTGTTAAACTCGAAAATCGCAATGATTCAATGAGCTACACTGAGTGGAATGAATGTTTCTGTGAGTCCTATCATGTCAGAAAAGTTGTTCAAATAGCGGCTAGCCAAAAAGCAGTTACCATTATAATGTAAGCCACTTACATCATATTGCAGGCTTGTAAACAAAGTCGTAATGATGGAGAACAGGGTTGTGACTGGAGTTAGGCATTTCCCTCAGATGATTGGTATACCAATGGGCTTTGGAGACAGGTGTTTAGAAAAGGTCTATTCCTAAAATTGTACATCCTGACTTACCCTGTAGCAGTCCGGTGAGATCTTATTACGAAAACAACTCCAAAAACCACTCTCCAACCATGTCGTGTATAACAGGCCTCAAGCAGTTTTCACCTTAGCTCTGTAGTCATATAAAACCAATACACTCCCTTTGTTTCCGACATTTCAAGAAATGAACTTACAGGCTATTAGCAACAAAGAAGTAACAAACACGCCCAGATACTTCCCATAAACACATAAAACTTTGCTGATCATCCGCGAGCATTGAACGGGTGTTTCGTCCCAATTCTGAAGTCTTCAGCTCTAATGTTGGAAAACCTAAGGAGACATTTGTTCTGGCTTAATGCCTTATCTATGAAAATAATCAATTAGTAGAGCTTTAAGATTAGTATATTTGTCATGCACAGTGGGATGTAGCTCAGCTGATGGTGTCTACATGTTCGAACCCCGCCGAATCACCTTAAGACTGAGCAACTGGATAGTAGTGTCATTAACCTTTAGACGGTAAGCGTGAGTTATAGTCCGACGACGGGTAACTCAATTCTAACTAACCAACTCTAGACAGAGGATGCATCATCTACATAACGATAGTAAATACCAAGTGATCGTGTACGCTCGCACTGAATTCATTAGTCGCTGGGCCCCCTTAAAAGAACTAATTTAGTCAACGATCTTCCTCCAGAAATGCTCTCATGTAACCACGTGTTCATAACCTCTCCCAAGTATGTTCTGTTCCCTCACCGTGATGTTCATTACAAAAGTGAAAGGACGAATGAGTACGTCTGGATCTTACAACTGGATTGGTAGGCATGCTGGTCTGGGAGCTAAGACACCCCATATTCCAAATCTACGGTATGTACGAGCTCCAAAATCCAAAATAACGGAATGCAGTATGAACATGTTTCGGCCATCGGGAACCAGGGAAAAGTAGCTGTGAACCCTACTGCTCCACTGTCATGTGGATCCGACTTTAAGTCAAGGTTATGGGTGAAGATGACCCCTTAAGACAACCATTTACCTTCAGTCTAGGCGTCTAGATAGTAACTCACCTCTCATACAGACCACTGGATTTTGTTGTGGCACATCTCTTGTTGCCCATAATGTTATAATTTTTTGTTTTAATGAAATAATAATGATAATAAAATTGAGAAAATAAAAATGTTCAAGATGTCTTCACTACGTCCTCCCTAAGGACTCATCAGCTGAGTGTGGTTGTATTTCTTCCATAGTTTAAAAAATAATTTTAAATAAAAATGAAACCTGAAGACAATTAATTCCATTATGAGTAAATTTTTGTTTTGATAAAGTCTCACAGTGTTATACAGTAATGTTTACTGATGACGTTTCGAGCTGTCTGTCTGTCTGTCTGTTTTCGACATAGAACTTTGCACAAATGTGCGCCAGTTCAAGTCGCCACACTCCGTGTAGCACGCGAAGCAAGAGAAGAAAGTACAAGAAAAGCATAATAGAAACAGTGAGCAAAGGTGAGAGACAAAGGAGTAATAAAGAAATACAAAACAGTTTCATTGGAGATCATAAGTCACAAGGAGTGGATGCATCTGCATTGGCCAGCCACTGAGAACGGTTTTGAGCCACGTCACCAATTGTTTCCAACCATAGATTTTTACCGTCCCGAGGACCCCAGCCTGGAAGTCCACACCTTTCTACGTGGCTTAGACCAACTGTTGTGGATTTCATTGACTGGTGAGGTCAAGTTTTTGTTTGACCGCCGCTAGCTTTTTTTCCAGCCTGACCCTACATCCGCTAACACTGCCCGTCGAGGAAGGCGATGACTAGGCATACGTAACACATGTCCTAACCATCTCAGTCTTTGTAACTTCCCGACTTCGTCGATTGATTTCCCCTGTTTACCTAGAACTCTGCGCCTAACCTCCATGTTTCTCACCTTATTATGCCACTTTACACGGGAAATAGAACGCAGGCACCTATGATCAAAGACAGCTAGTCTTTTCATGTCTTCCACTCTCAGTGGCCAGGTCTCACAGCTGGCCATAAAGGAGGACGGAGCGGACTGATGAGCAGTACACCCGCCCTTTGGTCGATAGTCAAACATCTCGTCTACGCCAGAGTCGGCGTAAACTAACAAATGCATGGTCGGTATCTACGCACGTGTTCCAGAAGCAGCGACAATCTCCTACCGACCCACGCCAACGATAGCTTATTGCTATGTGGTCTATTTGTGTCCAGCGTTGGTTTGATGAAGGGGGTCTCCAAGTCAAACAGTGTCTCTCCTTGTGTTTAAAGTTAGTGCTTACAAGAAACAAATGATTATCAGAACAGAACTGTAGGAGACGGTCACCGTTGTCGGTTCGCTGGCACGGAGCTCCATAGGTGCCACCGACATCCTTCTCAGATTGACACAATTTCCCTACTTGAGCGTTAAAGTCACCAGCTAGAACGACTATGTCTGAGCGTTTAGCCTTTCCACCAAACTAGACAGCTTTTGGTAGAACTCATCCTTCGTTTCATCTGAACTGCAGTCAGTGGGGGCGTAGGCGGAGATTACGAAAAGGCATCGGCGAGTAGTGCAGTCCTTCCTCCTTCTTACTGATCCGTTCAGGCGGACAGCACACATTCGGCTATCTACCGGGATCCAGTCAAGCAATGTCTTTTCTGCCCTAGTACTCAAAGCTATCCCTACGCCAGCTAATCCTCGTGAACTAGCTGTGGCATCTCCTGACACCCTCAGGGTGAATTTTGCAGATTCAACCTGTTGGCCAGGTGGGGTTAGGTGAATAACCACACTTGGGTCTTGTATGCGTGTTTCTGAAACACAGCATACATCAATGGCTCGTGATGCCAGGGTCTTGGCTAGTGATGCTTGTTGTCCTATTTGGCAAAGTGTCCTAACATTAAGAGCTCCTATATGAAATTGGTGGCGCGGCTTTAAGAGGCTGTCGGTGGTGGTTTTTTGGCTTCCATCGTTTTTAGTGGACGCAGAGTGGAGAGGAAGTGGAGAGCTATCAAGTCGAGGAGTTGCATCAGTGGAAGGAAGGCAAGATGATAGAGATGAAGATGAAGACAAAGATGAGTGAGTAATAGAGAGGTTTCGTGTGCATTTCGGATTGTGAGGGCGATTGTTACTTCCCGGCTGCCCACACCGTGGAAGTTGGTTGCGTGACCGCAGAGCCCAGGGGACAACTGCTTGAGGCCGGTCACACGCGGCCTGTTTTTGTTTGTTCTTTTTTGTTTGGTGTGTCTCAGTAGCAGATTTATCACTCCCGCCCTGTGACACGGCAGCAGGAAGCGCGGTCGTTGTTAATCCGGGCCACGGCCGATCCGGCATGAAATTTTGTAATTTTGTATTGGACATGATGTTGGATTGGGTAGCTGCTTTTTGTTTAACCGCTATCCAAACAACCTGCCTGGCATGGTAGAACCTCAAGAGACATAAGTCTCAGCCAGTATAGCTTGATTAGGTCATTGCGGTGTTCAAGCCCGACCACCACGTCAAGGTAGCAGCTTTCGGTCGGGTGACGTTTCGAGCACAATTTATTGCTCATAATCATATCAGGGACCTCGAAACGTCATCAGTAAACATTACTGTATAACACTGTGAGACTTAATCAAAACGAAAATTTACCCATAATGGAATTATACTCTATCACAGTACACAAATTTTATTCTTATATCAATGAAGACAATTAACTTCTTACTTACTTATTTTCAACTGCTTTGCTTATTTTCAAGACAATTGACCTGTGGATTTCACCGATTAAACCTTGACCAAGAATTAGAGGTGCAGAGAAGACATGACCAGTCCCTGTCATATGTGAAATATGCGTTTGAGGTCGCCAATCACCAAGAAACTATCAAAATTAAAGTACAGAGAAAACACAACATCAAAACAAAAAAAAATGCTAAGGCTTAAAACCAATTCAATTGTATAACAAAATACCATATGCATAAAATCTAGTTTGAAAGTACTCACTTATTCTCAAGAGTTTCTTTGTAAAGATCTGATTTGCCTCACGTTTCACCACGGAATGATATCAAGCATGGAGTACTGCTAGACAGCTGTTTCTTCGGCCCATTCTGGGACTCATCAGGTGTACGTACCCACCCCGCTAGGGTTCGAACACCCGACCTTTCGGTTACAAGGTGGGCGAGCTAGTAAACCATTCAGCCACTGAGACCCAACCTCAATAGACAGCCCATAAATTATAACTTCTAAAAATTTGTGATTTTGGCACCAGCTTGCTACACTTTGCTAAGGCAATCGCCATTAAACGGATAAAACCAAATCTATGCATGCAGAAAGAGACGGTGGTGAATTTCGCACTGTCTTGATGATAAAAAAGTGCACAAATTTGATTACCTCATCTTTTGTTCTGTTTAGAAAACTTGATTTTTCGTCTAAACGTTACTCACCCTATCCCCCTTCTTTTGGGTTATTTTATAAAATCATATTTACTGTGATTGTGTAACCTATTATTTGTTATACCCTTTTTTCTAGTTGAACTTTGTTTCTAGCCACCAAAATTCTGTCGAAATATCTGTTCTTTTGTTTCCAAGCATAATCATCTAATTTTTCTATAGATAGTCAAACCTTTTCACGCTTAATTATTTAACAGATTACTCGTTGTCACCATGACAAAACGTATGTTCAAATCTTTAATGTAAGTTATTCTTTAGGCTGGATCCAGTCTGTTGAGAAAACTCCCCGAAATAATAAACAAAAATGAGCTCATATTTGATATGTGTCTACATATATATATTTATGTGTGTGTGTGTATGTTGGTCTCTCTTTCTGTTTGCTCTCTTAGTCTGTGACCATTTCACTTGTATGAACTTGTCTCCTTTAACAATGTATATTCCCCTTATATTATATATAATATGAGTGTTTGTTGACAGTCCGTTGCTTAGTGACATATATCCATACATGGTTGTTGTTGACATGTCTGCTATATTCGCTATGTATATTTGGATCGACACTCCATTATAATTAGCCATTCATGTTAAGACTGTCTATTGATTTGTTCCCACGCTTTGTCTGGAACATTCATATATATTTCGCATTCACAATCTTGTGACTTTACTTACTTACCACTTTGGTGTGAGACCATTTATTTTCGTCTCCTTGTGTTTGGACAATAGAAGTATCATCGCAAACCTAGTGGTCTTCTGATTTCCGCCTTCTCGCGTCAGGACTATTAGTTTCTCGACCAGACCATAACAATAATTTAGCGACGAGTACATAACAATTTGGCGACGGGGAAAACTAGTACATAACAATATTATCCTGGTTGATGGCACAGTGGTAGAATGTTCGACAACCACGCATATGGTGCGAGATTCGATCCCCGGTCACCGACGCACTCTTTTACTTCACTTAAGCCAATGATAAGACTGGTAAAAAAAGGGAAGGTTGGCTGGGCATGAGGCTAGCAACTCCATTGTGTCTGTCTGTTTTCAAAACAGAAATTTGCACCGATGTGCAGCTGTTCAAGTCGCCACACTCTGTGTAGCACACAAAGCAAGAGAAGAAAGTAAAAAGAAACGCAAAATAGAGACAGTAAACAGTGATATGAGACAAAAAAATAGTAATATCGAAGAACAATATAGCTTCATTGGAAATTATAAGTCACAAGGAGTAGATGCATCTGCGCCAGCCATTGAGAATGATTTTGAGCCATATCACCGATTGTTTCCAGCCTTCATTGGTGTTTACTCCAAAAACAGTCAGGAAGTCTACACCTTTCTGTGTGGCTGGCTTAAACTATCTGTTGTGGATTTGATCGACTGGTGCCATATTTTGGTTTGACCGCCGCTAGCTCTTTGCCAGCCTGATTCTATATCAGCTAATATTGCCTGTTGTCGAAAAAGGCGATGGCTAGGCATGACTAACACATAATTCAACTATCTCAGTCGATGTGGCTTCACAGCCTCGTTGATTGATTTCCCCTCCATACCTAATACTCGACGCCTAACCTGAATATTGCTAACCTTATTATACCACTTCACACGAGAGATAGAACGCAGACATCTATGACCAAATACAGCCAGCTAGCCAGGCTTTTCATGTCTTCCACTCTCAATGGCCAGATCTCACAGCTGGCCATAAAGGAGGACGGAGCGGACTGATGAGCAGTACACCCGCCCTTTGGTCGACAATTAGCTTGATATCACGTCTACATTAGAGACGGCGTAAACTGGCATATGCGAAACAAGCCCTCTGTATCCATGCTGAGATTTCGTTAGCGATCAAGTCTCTGAGCTGGCTGATGCAACTTCCCAAATAAGTGAACTGGTCAACGTGCTCTACCACTTTACTCCCTATTTCTAAGCCAGCAGTCTGTCTGTCTGTCTGTTTTCGACATAGAACTTTGCACAAATGTGCGGAAGTTCAAGTCGCCACATTCCGTGTAGCACGCGAAGCAAGAGAAGAAAGTACAAGAAAAGCATAATAGAAACAGTGAGCAGAGGTGTGAGACAAAGGAGTAAAAAAGAAATACAAAACAATTTCATTGAAGATCATAAGTCACAGGGAGTGGATGCATCTGCGCCACTGAGAACGATTTTGAGCCATGTCACCAATTGTTTCCAACCATAGATTTTTACCGTCCCGAGGACCCCAGCCTGGAAGTCTACACCTTCCTACGTGGCTAAGACCAACTGTTGTGGATTTCATTGACTGATGCCAAGTTTTTGTTTGACCGCCGCTAGCTTTTTTACAGCCTGACCCCATATCCGCTAACATTGCTCGTCGAGGGAGGCGATGACTTGGCATACGTAACACATGTCCTAACCATCTCAGTCTTTGTAGCTTCACGACTTCGTCGATTGATTTCCCCTGTTTACCTAGAACTCGACGCCTAACCTCAATGTTGCTCACCTTATTATGCCACTTTACACGGGAAATAGAACGCAGGCACCTATGATCAAAGACAGCTAGCCACGCTTTTCATGTCTTCCACTCTCAGTGGCCAGGTCTCACAGCCATAAAGGAGGACGGAGCGGACTGATGAGCAGTACACCCGCCCTTTGGTCGATAGTCAAACATCTCGTCTACGCCAGAGTCGGCGTAAACTAACAAATGCGAAACGAGCCCCTTGTATTCGTGCTGAGATTTCGTCAGAGATCAGCCCGTTGGGGCTGATGGTACTTCCCAAATAAGTGAAGCGGTCAACGTGCTCTACCACTTCACTTCCTATTTTTAAACTAGGCGTCGATGTAGTCCAGTCCTGTAACATCATCTTGCATTTGGCGGGAGCGAATCGCATGCCAAACATTCGTAGATTGCGGCTCAAGGTGTTTAGAAGATTCTGCATTTCGTCAGCGTCTTCGCCTAGAAGGACTATATCGTCTGCATATTCCAAGTCAACGAGATTATTCCCAGGTAGCAAGTCAATCCCTGAATCGCTGAAGTCACCTAGGGTTAAGTCCATTAACACATCTATGATGAAGTTGAATAGAAAAGGAGATAATGGGCATCCTTGACGGACACCACTGGTCGTCATCAGTTCAGATGACAGCTCGCCGTAAGCCCTCACCTGGCTGTATGAGTACGAATAGAGTGCCTTAATCAGTGCAATATATTTTCTTGGAATTCCCTTTACAGCCAAGCATCTCCAAAGAACTTCCCGATCGACAGAGTCGAATGCTGCCTTTAGGTCAAGAAATATAATGACTGTTAAGCCAGCAGTCAACTTAGTCCAGTCGTGTAAAATCATCTTACATTTGACAGCAAGAGCGAATTGCATGCCAAACACTCGTAGATTGAAGCTCAAGGTGTTCAGAAGACTCTGCATTTCATCAGCGTCTTCACCTAGGCGAGAGGACTATATCATCTGCCTATTCTAAGTCAACGAGATTATTCCCTGGTGGTGACAAGTCAATCCCTGAGTCTCTGAAGTTTGTTAGAGTTATGTCCATTAGTATGATGAAATCGAGTAGAAATTGGGATAGTGGGCACTCCTGATAGGACATCACTAGTTGCTACCACTATGTATTAGCTTCATCCCGTGAAAATAAAACACCACTGTTACCGAAACTTCATAAAAACTCTAGCTTGAAGCCACCCTATATTCCAACATTGGGAACGTAAAAGAAATAAAATAATAAATCAAAATTATCCTCCTGGTGCACAAATGTCATTCTTGCCTCCATTAAGCAAAAAAAAAGAGAAAATATCTACTAACCTGTGGTAGCTTTTGTAAACGCATAAGACAATGTGTTACAGCGACAATTTCACGTATCCAATCAGAATGAGACATACTGGTTTGTTGGTGTTGTTGTGATTGTCCATTTTGATTAATCGATGATGATTCATTATTTGCAGCATGTGATGCAGCTGATAAAGCCACAGATTTAGCTACTGCACGTGGTTCTTTATACAGATTACTATCAACTATTGGTTCAACAACAGAAGCACTATGCCAATCTGAAAGTGGTAAACTAACAAAGTGTGTAACAGCAGTTGTATTGATTGAGGCAGAATCCCTTGAATTATGAGTAATAAGCGGGGGAAAAAGAGAAAAGATAGTTTGAGGATATTATAATCAGTGTAGATCAATATGTAAGCTGGTGTAAGATAATGAAATGAAGAATGGAGTACCAATTTTGAAAAGTATTTACAGAATCACTGATTCAGTGGTACGATACTCATCAATCACTAACGTGGTCCAGGTTCGATGACCCGCCAACGGACTCCTCGCCCTCGATTAGACGATAAAAATCACACAAGAGAAGGAAGGTTGCGCATGAAGTTAACGAGGTTGGGTTAGAAACGGTCAACTCCAAAACTTGTACATTTTGACTTACTTTTCGGCCGTACGCAGCCAGCTGTAGGATCTTATTACGGACACAAATCCAGAAATGTGCGCCTTGATGGCGAGCTACCTAGAATGGTGGCCGTATCGCAAACCTGACTGATAGAATTCAGTCTGCACCAAAGAAAGGACTACACACGTCGTGCTAACTTCTAGTATCCAATCAAAATACCCACTACAGTCCTACAGGAGGTTAATCGCGAGCCAGAATACATCAGTGGTAGCGTCTCTGACTGCAGCTCTCACTGGGTGACACGGGCTCGAATCTCAGAAAGGAAATGAGTTCCTTCAAGGCAGCTGCATATACGCCTTGCTGACGAGTACCAACTAGCACGAAACCTCAGGTTCAAGGCTTTCTTCCGATTGCCTCCAACTATCTAATATCATCAAATCAGTGTGCACCGTGATGGCAGGATACCTGGAATGGTGGCCACATTGCAAACCTGACTGATGTAAAAATTCAGTTTGCACCAAAGAAAAGACTAGACACACATCACACTAGTTACTAACTAGTGTCCAATCAAAATCCAGAAATCAATTCAAACAGACTATGTTAACCGACCTCAAGCAGTTGTCTCCTAAGCTATGCGATCACGTAACACTACAGCTCCTTCCGTCTCAGATACATCAAGAAGATATCAACTTCCAAGGTGTTGGCATCCAGGGAGTAACAACCTTCCACATACTCCCAAAAACACACGCTCTCTTGTACAAGTGTCTGTCTGGATTCAACATAGAACTTGGCACCGAAGTGCACCAGTTCCAGTTGCCACGTTCCAATTGGCACACAAGGTAGACAAGAAGATGAGTGAAGAGAATCAATAGAGTTTGACAAATATAAGAGTGAAACAGAATGGGTAATTGTAGAAAGGAATATGAAAGATTACAGAGACTGAATACATCTGCGCCATTGACAACGATTTTGAGTCATGTCACCTATTGTCTCTAGCCATTGATTCCTAGAGTCCCGAGGGCCCCAAGTGTACAAGTGTACAAACCATAGGACTAATTTACCTACTATACCTGAAGGAAACCTTCAACATTCACTACACACGAATTCCTAGTTCTCACCTGTTAATACTGCTATACTAGAAATCTTAGTCAATTGTGTCTATCACTCAGCTCATCTAGTCACAGGTTAAAGAAATTACACAACTGTAATCCGCCACGTTTAGCAACTTTCTTTTTTGATATTACGACTTAGCTTAACATATATTTGTTCATATAATCTCAATTAAACGAAGACAGTAGGGATACAAAAGTTTTCTTAGCATATCGTAGTGAATACAGGAGTGAGACAGGGTTGTTGTCTACTATCACCGATGATATTCTTCATTGTGGTGGACTGAAAATTATGCGGTAAACTGTGCACAGGGTGCGAGAGATGACAGGAATACACTGGACCATCGATAAGAAGACTCTAGAAGGATCTGGATTTCGCGCATAGATGATTTATGTTTAATGTGACACAAACTCGAAGACTTACAGGCGAAAACCAACAAACAAACCGGCTGGAGAAGCAGGCAGTGAAGATAGGAATGTAAGTGAAGATGGAGATGATGAAGATAGCCAACCAACAGCAACAACCACCAGGGGTGGGTGTCTTGCGCTGCGGGTTGGCCACCCCTCCGTACACCTCTTGAAATGCTCCCATATGACCGGGCGTCTTACATAGCCTCTCCTGAGGAAGTCCTACTCACTGCCTTCACGTGGCGGAGGTGTTTTTCACCAAAGTGAGAGGGCAAAAGCGGATGCCCGGCGCTCTTCACCGGGTTGACTGTCCATTGGATGACAGTCTAGGGGAGATGGCTAAATCCTGATTCCAAACCTCCATCGACTGGCGTATGAAGCTCACCGGCAGACGTTTGGACAAAGGGCTTATTGGATGCCCTGGATGACTGGCCCCATTCAAAAAGGCGAATGAACCGGACTCCGGTCACCGGCTCCCAATGGATAGTGGACTCCTTACTCCACTCCTACTGCCTTGTAGGTCACACTTGGCTGTGTAAAGGCTAGAGCTGCACTCTCAAACAAAAGGCCGAGCGATTCTGGGGACATCACTCGTACCAAATTCCCATGAAACTTCATGGTTCATGAAGCCGGCTCATCCTCCCGTAGGAGATAGCCGAAGTAAAGTAAAGTAAAGTAAGTAAGTAACAACCACCAGCACCAACCACTATCAACGGGAGATATTCAAAAGAGGTGTCACCTCCTTCACTTATCTAGGAGGCATGTTTCAACCACAGGCATTTTTGATATGGATGAATATGTCAAAGCGAGTCTGCTAGAATCGGAAAGGCAAGATACGCCTTCATCAACCTGAAACCACCAATTCGGAAATCTTCTACATTAAGCCAGTAAAAAAGAAAAACAAGATTCGGATTTTCAACACAAATGTGAAATAAGTCACTTCTGTTCACCTCTCTATATGCGTGAGAAACGTGGAGTCCGCGTCAAGAAAAGCATTTCCAACAGGCTACGGAAGACTTTTACCAATAGCTGCCATCTTCTCTGGCTGTCTGTCTGTCTGTCTGTTTTCGACATAGAACTTTGCACAAATGTGCGGAAGTTCAAGTCGCCACACTCCCTCCATGTAGCACACAAAGCAAGAGAAGAAAGTACAAGAAAAGCATAATAGAAACAGTGAGCAGAGGTGTGAGACAAAGGAGTAATAAAGAAATACAAAACAGTTTCATTGAAGATCATAAGTCACAGGGAGTGGATGCATCTGCGCCACTGAGAACGATTTTGAGCCATGTCACCAATTGTTTCCAACCATAGATTTTTACCGTCCCAAGGACCCCAGTCAGGAAGTCTACACCTTTCTACGTGGCTTAGACCAACTGTTGTGGATTTCATTGACTGGTGAGGCCAAGTTTTTGTTTGACCGCCGCTAGCTTTTTTCCAGCCTGACCCTATATCCGCTAACACTTCTCTGGCTGGCTTCATACTGAAAATCAATTGGCCAGAAATAATAAGCAACAAGAAACTCTGGCTGGGAACAAACCAACCAAGAGCCGACCGTTCAACAAATACGTAAGAGAAAATGGAGATGGATTGGACACCCAGTGCCAGCCAGGATGTCTCTCAAATGGGGAATCGAATTGAGAAGCGACAAGTGGGTCGTCGGTGCGTGGGTGACATGGATGAGATCGTGTGGCGAAGAGATGAGAGATTATAGGCAAATGTGGACCCAGCTGAGGAGGACGGCAGAAAATAGAAGAGAGTGAAGATGTGTTGTTGAAGCCAGCCGTATGTTCCACTCGGAACCCAAGGGAATAACAATAAAAAATAATAATCTTAAGATATCAAATACCATCATCAATGAGCATGATGGCAGCTATCAGTTATGCACATTTACCTAAACCATATAAGTACTGTTCGCCGCCAACACCTGGATGGGGTGTTCCTCACAAAGTGTGAAAGGTCGAATGTGAACCTCTAACACTTACAATCCGACTGCTGGTCATGCAGGTCTACCAAGCAGAGTTGGAATACTCTGATTCCAAACCTAATGGGGTAAATAGGCTCATGAATCTCAAAGGATCGAATTGTATATTAATCTGTTCAGGTCACCGGTAACCATAGGAACGTAGCCCTCCTGATCCTGCTCTACTACCTTTTGAAACCAAATTCAAGTCAAACGTTCAGTGGGTAGCTGCTTAAAACAACTCCATGCTTTGGTCTGGGTCTCCGGATAATATCTCAGCCCTCGCACAATCTATTAAATTTTATGTAGTGCATCTCCTGGTGCCCATAGTGTACCTTTTGTGTCTTAAAAATAAAAATAATGACTTGAAATTGTACCGATTTCTAACCTTCATGTCAATCCGTATTTCAGTTAAACTACCACTTAGCAGAAAAAAAAACAATCTTAAATACAGCTGGAAAATGATAAACAGAGAAGAAAAGAAGAAAAAAAGGCAGAAATATTTAACACACACACACACACACACTTACTCAAAATTAGAATATGATGACTTGCGGAGCTGAAGTGAATCCAAGTTACGTAGACGTGAATTCAAGGCTAAAGTACACGGTTTATCATAGAGTAGACGATTCAATTCTTTTTTCAATTCGTCTATAAGAAACTGAAAATGTACATAATAAATGTATAACGTTGTTTCTAAAGATATTTTTCACCGCTTTACAAAAGTATTTTTGTATTAGAGCTCAGATAGTCATAAAAGATTTCCTAGCCAGAAAGTTCATCATTTTAAGCTCAGTTATCCCCCCCCCTTCAACGAGCAAACAGTTAATGTGTTAGACTGAGAAACACATTTATTGCTTGAGGGTTGATGATTCTAACTAGTTGTCAAGGCTACAGCAAGTGGAATGGGACTCGATTGATTGAATGTCCACATAGAACTCTGTACACAAGCGTACTTAGTTCAAGTTGCCACAATCCATGTAGCACACAAACACAAATGTGCGAGAGAGACTGACTGGTTTCAACATATACGACTACTTTGCACAGATATGCAGCCCTTCGAGTTGCCACACTCCCTCCATCTCTACCACACAAACCAACAGAGAAGAGATTAAAGGGAGGCTCAAAAGAGAGATAATAAACACGATTGTGAGTGAGGGAAGAACAAATAGAGATACAATCACAAACGGTGAATGAATGCATCTGCGCCATCCATTGACAACGAAGAATTTGGGCCAGATTGTCTCCAGCCTTCGTTGGTTATCACCATTTCGAGGATTTCAACCATTAAATCTACACCTCCTTACGTGACTGGATGGCTCAAATTAACTGTTATGTATTTCACTGACTGATTAAACCACGTCCTGGTTTGACCACGACTATCTACCTCTTTTCCAACCCAATCAATCTTATGTCAGCTAAGATTGACGGTTGAGGAAGGTGATGGCCAAGAACGCAAGCGTAACACATGTCCCTAACCATCTAAATAGATGCAACTGCTTCACAACATCATCGAATGATTCTCCCTCCTTAACCAGCACTTGACCGATACCTAGCCACAGTGTTGCTCGCTCTGTTATACTACCTAACACGGCAGATAGAAAGCATGCACCTATGACCAAAAACAGTTAGCCAGGCATTTCACGTCTTCCACTTTCAATAGCCATATCTAACTCACAGTCATAATGGAGGACGAGAAAAACTACTACTGTGCAGTACACATGTCCTCCGACTGACAGGAAGCCGGATTTAACGTCTACTAAGGCAGAGATGGCGTCAGTTAGCTGACAAATACTACACAAGCCTTGTGTATCCATTCTCTGATTTTATAGAGGTCACCAGGTTCAAATGTGCAGGAGGAAAAAACCATAACACAAGGTTTTACTGAATATGACAGATCACAGAGTGAATTCATCGGCACCACTTAAAACAATTTTGAACTATATAACCAACAAATTCTCCAGCTATTGACTTTTATCGTTCCGATGACACAAACGTCTCTAAGCAGCTCAAGGACTGGTAGATACCAAACTAATTCTAAGTCAGATAATGTCGATAATGTTATCCTGGTGTGTTAAATATATTATGTCATACCACTGAAGCATTTGTGAAGGGTAAATGTGGGACAAACACACACACACAATTTAGCTATTTTAAGATATAAATTTTTCAAGTACCACATAGCTGTTCAATCTGCCATACTATCTATCACACACAGTTGATTCAAAAAACTGCAGGTAACCAGGTAACTATCATCCCCGATGATATTCCCAACTGTCGTGGTTGACTGGATTATGCGTCAGACTGTGCATGGAAGTGGGAAGACAGTAGTACGTTGGACTGATAAGAAGACTCTAGAAGATTTGAATTTCGCAGATGATTTATGTGTGGTGTCACACAAACTCAAAGACTTGCAGATGAGAACAAACAAACTAACTAACAAACTGGCTGAAAAAGCAACGAAGACAGGACTTCAGGTGAACACAGAGAAGATGCAGATGATGAAGATAACCAATCAACATCAACAATAACAACCAGCACTAATCACCATCAACAGGAAAGATTTAACATAGGTCACTTCCTTCACTTATCTAGGGAACATCGTTTCAACTATAAGCGATAGCACGGCCTCCAAAGCCTCAGGATGGTCGGGGGTGGGTGCCTTGCGCTGCGGGCTAGCCACCCCTCCGTATACCTCTTGAAATGTTCCCATATGATCGTGCGTCTTACATAGCCTCTCCTGAGGAAGTCCTACTCACTGCCTTCACGTGGCGGAGGTGTTTTTCACCGAAGTGAGAGGGCAAAAGCAGATGCCCGGCGCTCTTCACCGGGTTGACTGTTCATTGGATGACAGTCTAGGGGAGATGGCTAAACCCTGATTCCAAACCTCCAACGACTGGCGTATGAAGCTCACCGGAGTTCACCGGCAGACGTATGGACAAAGAGCCTATTGGATGCCCTGGATGTCTGGCCCCATTCAAAAAGGCGTATGAACCGGACTCCGGTCACCGGCTCCCAATGGATAGTGAACTCCCTACTCCACTCCTACTGCCTTGTAGGTCACACTTGGCTGTGTAAAGGCTAGAGCTGCACTCTCAAACAAAAGGCCGAGCGATTCTGGGGACATCACTCGTACCCAATTCCCATGAAACTTCATCAACTCTCTTACAAACATTCGAAATGTTCATGAAGCCGGTTCATTCTCCCGTAGGAGATAGCCGAAGTAAAGTAAGTAAGTAAGATATCACGGATGAAGATGTCAAAGCCACAAAGAATCGGAAAGGCTAGATACACCTTTATCAATCTTGAAATCGGTTTGGAGATTTTCTCCACTCAGTCAGCATAACGAACAAGATTCGGATTTTTAACACAAATGTTAAGTCAGTCAGTTTTTCCATACGGGTCTGAAATGTGCACTGCGTGTCACGAAAAGGATATCCAACAGCCAGTTGCAGAAATTATCAACAGCTGCCACCTTCTCTGGCTCCATATGAAAGATTGAATAGCCAAAAAGAATTAGTGTAGCAAGAAACTCTATGAACAAACCAACCAAGAGCAGACAGCCGAAAAAAATATGTAGGATAAAATGGAGATTGATCAGGCATACATTGAGGAGACCGTTGAATGGCATTGCGCATAATGCAGGCTATCACTCGAGTGGGACGCGAATGGGAAACAACGAGTGGGTCGTCGGTGCTAGAGGGACATGGAGGAGAACGTGCGAAAAGGAGATGAGAGGCGATGGGGAATCGTTGATCCAGCTGAAGAGGACCGCAAAATATAGGAAAAGGTGACGTGTTGTTGAAGCCCTATGTTCCATTCGGAACCCAAAGGAATAATAATAAATAAGTGCAATGTTCCTAGACAATTAACTATCCAATTCCCACTCTCGCATACTCATCACCTGTTGTCTTTGATGCGATATTACGGACTCCTGAGTCAAGAATCTGACAAAATACAGAATTTCCTCAACACTTTGAATAGAAATCTTCCAATTTTTGCCACGCTATTTGCTTCTTCTGTCAAATGTAAGATGATGTTACAGGACTGGACTACATCGTCTCATGCCTACCTTAAAGATAGGCAGGAGTGAAGTAGCTGATGGGGCGTGTTGACCACTTCACTTATTTGGGAAGTTGCAACAGCCAGTCCCAGAAAATTGATCGCTGACAAAATGTCAGCATCTGTAGCGCAGACGTAATATCCGGCTATCGACCACTACTTAAAAGACAAAACCATCTTTGGTTTTATATTAGAGATTAACGTGTAACATTATACATCGAGAAGAGATACTCCTGTCACCGAACAGAACAACTTCCTAGATGGCATATAAGAAAAGCCTGCACACAATGAATATTCGACTTATGCTGTATGAAACGCAAGTGTACAAGCCTTCTCGAGAGGTGGCTTGTAAACGACGTACACGGATAATTTTCAATAAGTAACAAACCTAAATTAGACCATACTTCATTTGAATCAGAACTTGGTATCCGACACGAGGTTGAATCTTTTCCTCCAAAAAAGTAAATAATCTAATATCTGCTGTCACTGGGTACTTTCGGCTTATCGATTTTCTCCACTGCGAAAGTCAATAACTGCCAACATACTCTATAAAACTTTATACACACTAGTCTGAAATAATGTGGTTGTAGGAAACTCAAAAACTTTCTGCCTGTCTGTTTTCCACATAGAACTTTGCACCAATGTGCATCAGTTCAAGTCGCCACACTCCCTCCATGTAGCCCACAAAGCAAGAGAAGAAAGTATAAGAAATGCATATTAGAAAGAATAAACAGAGGTGTGAAACAAAGGAATAGTAATAACGAGGAACAAAACAGTTTCATTGGAAATCATAAGTCACAAGGAGTGGATGCATTTGCGCCATTGAGAACGGTTTTCAGCCATGTCACCAATTGTTTCCAACCATTGGTTTTACCGTCCCGAGGACCCCAACCAGGAAGTCTACACCTTCTTTCGTGTCTTACTTACACAAACTGTTGTAGATTTCATTGACTGGTGCCATGTTTTTGTTTGACCGCCGCTAGCTCTTTTCCAGCCTGACCCTATATCAGCTAACATTTCCCGTTGAGGAAGACGATGACTAGGCATACGTAACACATGTCCTAACCATCCCAGTCGATGCAATTTCACAGCCTCGTCTACCGATTTCCCCTCCCACCTACCTAGCACTCGACCAAAGCCTCACCTCAATATTGCTCACCTTATTATACCACTTCACACAGGAGATAGAACGCAGGCACCTATGATCGAAGATAGCTAGCAAGTTTTTTCATGTCTTCCACTCTCAGTGGCCAGGTCTCACAGCCGCAAAGGAGGACGGAGCGGACTGATGAGCAGTACACCCGCCCTTTGATCGACAACCAGCCGGATATCACGTCTACTAAGCCAGAGACGGCGTAAACTCGCATATGCGAAACGAGCCGCCTGTATCCGTGCTGGGATTTCGTCAGAGATCGACCCTTTTGCGTTGGCTGATGGTACTCCCCAAGTAAGTGAAGCGGTTAACGTGCTCTACCACTTCACTCCCTATTTCTAATCTAGGCGTCAGTGTGGTGCAGTCCTGTAACATCATCTTACATTTCGCAGGACCGAATCTCATGCCAAACATTCGTAGATTGCGGCTCAAGGTGTTTAGAAGACTCTGCTCTATTTTGTCAGCGTCCTCACTTAGAAGGACTATATCGTCTGCATATTCTAAGTCAATGAGATTATTCCCTGGTAGCAAGTCAATCCCTGAGTCGCTGACGTCACTTAGGGTTAAGTCCATTAACACATCTATGATGAAGTTGAATAGAAATGGGGATAATGGGCATCCTTGACGGACACCACTAGTCGTCACCAGTTCAGATGACAACTCGCCGTAAGCCCTCACCTGGCTGCAAAAACTTTAGATAGTTACACTATTTTGGTCTGTTACACTCAACGGTGACAAATAATTTTAAAAACTTGCATTTACCTTATTCTTTTGTGTCAGCTCCGTTTTCAATCCTTGAACTGCAGGAATTGAAGCAATATCTGATTCAAGCATATAATTTGCATTAATCATGACAAATGTTGCTTCAGACCAAGCACGTGCAGCTACTAAACAATTCAATACATCTGGAGTAGAACGTAATCGGTCCACTTGATCCACCAATTCTAAACATCTCCTCTGTTCAACAAGTTCCAACCACAGCCTTCGTAACTCTTCTCTATTACAGTATAACAAACTTTTACATTCCATAAGATCTCTTTGTATTTTAGTGACAGATGTTTTGTTATCTAGTAGATGTTTGAGTAAACAACAGGAAATAATAATAATCTAAGTCTACCTCTAATACGTTGTGAAACTATTCCATAGGTGCTTAAAATTTTATTCACATCAGGAAGCTTTTCTAAAAACAAAAACAAAAAAAGGTTGACTTCACAAAAAATGCAACCTTCAAACAAACCAGTAAGACATATATTCAGTACAGCTCCTGTTTCTGTAAAATCCTTCTCCAGTTGACGTTTCTTTTTTTCTCGAATGTCCATGGAACTACTGCACACACAAACACACAAAAAAGGATTTGCTTAGAAACAAAATTGAAAAAAAAAGTTACTTTTCCATTAGACTCCGGATGAAGGCCATCAAGTAGGATGATTGAGTCTAAAGCAAGTGATAATATACAGAAGAATACTTACCATTTTTAATGATACTAAAAGCCAATAAACAAGTTGTGTACACCTTTAATCAAGCTTCCAAGTAATGAACACAGACGTTTGTGTGTAGAGGTGATTGAGTAGTGACGGTAGATGTCCGACACTTCACCTATAAAGCTGAAAAAAATTCAAACATTTATTGATTGTATTTAGGAGTAAAGATAAGGCAAAAGTAATTCCTACGGACAGAAAAGCACAGTATTACTGGAGAACTAAACAGTCTGCGAAATAGAACGAACCTCACCTATTGCGTCAGAGTTGGTGCTGTCATCATGTCAACAGAAAAATAGAATCACTTATCTATAAGCTGAGTTGCAACTTACAGTTTACACACGACTGACAACTGAGTTTATTTCTTTCACAGGTCGATTAGAAGAGTTAGGTCCGACAATGGAGTGCAACCTTTTTGTACAGTGTGTGAGCATGAGGAAGCCATTGAATATCCTAAAGCAACTAAGAGAGACACATTCTCAACCGTCTAACTGTCTGTCAACTAGCTGAGAGCAGACATGAGAATACAGCTAATAAATCCCCGGGGTTTGTTAGTATTTGGACATTAAGTCACTAAAAACCAGACTTATTCTTACAGAAGTTGTGTATCCATTTTTTCAGTAGAATTTTGTACATTTTACTGTTTGCATCGTTTCATATAACCACGTTTATTACAGCAAGTTGAGGTGGACGTTGAGCAGGAGTACATCTCATACGCTGCTATCCACTATACATTTACATACACGAAGCCACGCCCAATGACAGTTCTTGGAAAAGTCCAACATTAAGATACAACATTCAGATAAGCCAAAAGCCTCTGGATTCTATAAGTTGTAATTTAATTGCGGCGGAAAATAATGATCAAGGCTAATAATATACCAAATAACCAGCTTTAGCAGAACATAAAGCAAATTTATTGTTAGTAAATAGTCACTTTTACTTGCTTATAAATACTGGTGATTAAATTTTTTTTAACTTTTAATGTCCGGATAGTCAGGTGGATTTATGAGACATCTGTTGCTTCAAATAAGCTAATCAGTTGTTGACTATGGTCAACAACAATCAACATTCATATATGAATGAGATTTCTACAATTAATTTGACTGTAGGTCTGGCATGAAGATACGTACGAGACCTTAATGTACTAAACCTAGATTTTCATAAGGACCATTACGGTAAGCGTGCAATCGATAAAATATCAAGGGATATACCATTTATATATACATGATATTTCTGATGTATATAAATTCAATTAGGAAATAGATTATTGATCAGTGAGGTTAATGCTGAAAAGGCGTCGACGCAGACTATATTTCATTCTTACTTCACACATGTGTTCTATATATTAACTCAGGCAGCTCGAAAATAGCATCACAGTATTATGCCAATTTATGTGTTCAAGATCACGCGAATTTCTACACGGGCAGTGAGTAACAGGTGAGAAGTATTAGCTTATATGTTTCTTATGTTTGAAAACAAAACAACTCTAATTAGTTGCATTACAGCTGCCGACCTTGAAATCAATTGCGAGGCTAGTATGACCTTCACACTCTAGTAAATGTAAAGAAACCGGCACTTAACTTCGCTCCTTCGTATTTCACTTCCTGCCACTAGCTTCCAGTGTTTCAAAAAGGCGCAAGGCCTCTCACAGTTTCGTTACAAACTCAACAATCGTCTTGACTCCTGTAGCCTCAATGAAACCAATGTGTGCTTATCAATTTTCTAGGAAACATTTGATGAAAGACTGAAGACATAGCTTTGACGTACACTCCTACAGATAATTCATACGCATTCTTTAAAATGCGGTACTATTGGACTAGAATGAAAATCCAGAGAATACGAACACAAAACATTGGTGGCTAGTTATTGAAGATAGGCGGAGTGTATAAGAAGAGCAGTATCATGGGCAAAATCCCCAGCTCGATCTAACTTCTGGAAAGCCAATATTAAATGCGATCTCATCAGAAGCTAACTTAGTGAATTGTTGCATGAACCCAGATTCACAAGTAGAAGCCTCATGGAACCAGTTTGAAAAACTGGTCCAAGTAACTGGACATATCAACCATTGGTCTCACAAAAAGGGCCGAAACATTGTATGGTGATTGACTATTTCTATCTCTGTATTGTTTAAATACTTACTGTTGATTGTTAATATATTTCTTATATGAATTGAATAATAATTCCGCTAAATACAAGTTCCTGAATTCCGCCCTCTCTGTGTTTTGTTTGGATTCTTGTAATTCGGTCATCTCGAAATACTAATATTACGATTACAATAAATTACTACAAATTGGCGTCGCGATGGAACTAAATAACCTGGGAAAATTTCCTATTAATGGGTCTCCGCGGAGATTGCTGATTATTTTGAATGCTTCGATGCGTGGTGCATTTCAAAGAACGTTCGGGATGACAAAATACCAGCACATTTCATCACTGCTATTGGGCTAGATGCATATAGCCTAGTGGAGAATCTGGCGTTTCCAGATAAACCTATTTCCCTATCATATGTCAAGACTCGTGAGCTTCTTATAAATCACTTTCATGTAACTACATTTGAGACCAGAGAGAGGGCTCAATTCAATAAACTGGTTCGTGCTCCCAACCAGAAGATTCGAGAATTCATTCTTCAACTTCAAATTCAAGCTTCAAAGTGTAACTTTGGAGATCAGCTGCATACTCAACTACGTGATCGTCTAATTGCTGGAATCAATATTCCTAAGTTAGAGAAAGAGTTAATTCAGATTCCTTCTTGTACCTTTCAAACTGCTAAAGATTTATGTATTACATATGAAGATGTCAACAGTGAATACTCTGCTCCCACTACGTCAGTATCTGATGTCATGTTGTCCAAAGTCGAAAATACAAGCGTTCATGGAAAGCAATCCAAACTGTCGTCCACAGGTAATAGAATGCAGCGAGAGATCAAAAAATTAAACCGTGTTTATCCTGTGGAAAGTTACATCTACGAAGCACTTGCCGTTTTCGTGGTGCTAAGTGTCACAAATGTGGTAAAGTTGGACACATCAAGACTGTTTGCAGAAGTTCGAATACTTATGTTGCTCAACATTCTTATAATTCTCCCAAGCTGTCTAGTAAAATGGAGTCAATGTGTCTTTCAACTTTTCAAAATACTCAATCTCATCCAATGAAAACCTCCACTACAAGTTCAGCAACTCAAGCGTCAACTGTTTCCAAAAATGAGGTAGCCGAGTTACAATGCGAACTGTCGAAAACACGAGAAAAAACTGAATGAGATGAGAGAGCAACTGATTAAAATGGAGGAATTGCTGCATATGCATAGACTGCGTCTGTTGAATGCAGAACATACAAGTACCCGTGAAAGTCCTGCAAAACTTTTCAAATCTCGAATTCTCAAAAAGCATCTGATGTCCACGACTTCTAATGTACATTATTACAAAGGGAATGACTACAGACCTTCTGTTGGAATCATACTACAAAAAATGGGAAATCGAGTGGTGAAGATATTAGACATCAAAGATCACTCAGTTCATAACAGACACCTGGACAAAGTGACAATAAATGAAGTAGGTCGTTCCAATTATAATATTATTGATTCCGCTAATAATCCTGATTTTGTAGATAATTCAGAAATAGGTCCAGATAATACTGATGAAAATAATATCACAGAATCAGTTAGAAGGTCGCAGCTACTTGCAAGCAAACCGAGACATCGTTATAAATACGCAAGGAGATATTCGAGGTGTGGCGGATGTGGTGATTGACAATTTCTATCTCTGTATTGTTTAAATACTTACTGTTGATTGTTAATATATTTCTTATATGAATTGAATAATAATTCCGCTAAATACAAATTCCTGAATTCCGCCCTCTCTGTGTTTTGTTTGGATTCTTGTAACTCGGTCATCTCGAAATACTAGTACTAATATTACAAAAAATTACAACACATTGCCCTTCTTAGATGAACCGAAAGATTCGCGAATTACAAGCACAAGTTCGTGAATATATTTACCACACTTGAGATTCCTGAGATTACGAAATTCAGCAACACCGCCAGAAACAAAGCTCCTGAAGAAATCAGCCAATCAAGGATGAAGTTCGAAGCATATCCGGCTCAAAATGCAGCGGCACAAACTGAGAAAGTTTTCTCGTGCATGGACTTCGCGAATAGAACACCCAATGTTGTCCCAAACCTGACTGTTGACAATGACACAATTGAGGAGGATCAAGAAAGTGCAGAAGCAATGGGTGACTACTTCTTCCAAGTCTTTACATATGAGTCGTCACCCTCCATAAGATCAGCTCTGGTTGCATCAGCGGAACACAGGATAGTTCGAAACATAGTGCTCAACTGCCTAAAGACTCTGGACGCAGGTAAACCAATGGGTTTTGATAATCTTCATCCAAGGCTTCTCAAGGAGCTATCAGCTCACATAGCCGGTCTACTTGCTACGATCTCCAGGCTGTCTCTCCTAAATGGAGTGTTACCACGTGACTGGAAAAACACCATAGTAACCCCCAACCACAGGGTAGGATCAGGACAAAGCCCTTCAAACTACAGGCTCACCAGCACCTCAATCAAAAGAAAGAATATTCAAGGAAAGTATCTTGGCATATCTGGAAAACAACAATTTGTTATCCGAAGCACAGCATGGCTTACGGGAAAACCTCTCATGCTTGTCAAATCTGCTTACTCCAAGAGAAAGCTGGGTCAAATCAAGGGACAACATAAGACCTGTTGACGTCATCTTCATAGACTTCAGCAAAGCCTTTGATAAGGTTCCTCATAAAAGACTACTCATAAAGCTGGAAAAAGTCTTGGCATCAAAGGCATATTACTAAACTGGCTCAGGGAATTCCTCATAGATATGAGGCAGGGGATTAGTAACAACCCAAAACTATCCTCCTGAACAACAGTGAATATCGGAGTGCCGCGATGCACAGTACTCGAGCCTCTCTTATCTATTTTGTGTATCAATGGGTTGTCTCTGCTAACCGAACCCCTATGTATCCAT